CATAGATAGAGTTATGATTCTCGGTTTTTTTCTCTCTTTTTGATATTTCATTAGATACATAACTAATATTTGTGATAATTTTAATGAAAAAAAAAAGATCAGTAAAGATGAAGTATTTTAAATTCATTAAAAGCATATTTTAATCTTTTGTTTAGAATCTGTTATTTTTTCTCTTCGACTAGAAAAAAAGGAAAGAAAAAGAATCTTCTACTTATTTCTCTTTTTCAAGTCAATTTTATGAACAACATTTTACAGAAGTTTTCTTTGTTTGTTTCTTTCTTTTTTTTGTTTTGAAAAGAGAGTTCATCATTAAGTGGCAATTGTATTGTGAAATTAGTTGAGATAAGTATCAGTTAGTACACACTTATAATAATTTGTAATATAGTGCTTAATGAGATAAGTATTAAAAAATTGTATTTTTCTTTATAAAAAGAAAACTTATATTAATGAAAATTAAAACAATATTAATAGTTAAGAAAAAGGATCTAACAATATTTACCATTAGGATTTTATTGTAAATAAAGTTTATATACACAAGTAATATATACGTCGTATTAATAAAAATAATATTATATAATGAATTTAAGCATTAGTCCTAAATTGTCAAAGACTTGGAGTATAAACTATACTTTATGTTAAAGTTAGCTAATCTTAACATAGAGTAATATCAGTTGAAGAATTGCTAAAAACCTAATCGATGATGAAGAGTAATTTATAATAATTTGAAACTTATTTGAAAGGATCACTCTCCCACCATGAACTAGTATGAGATAAAACTTAAAATATTCAGGTCTTGCATAAAGCATGATACTCTTAGACAACTAGATTGAAATCAAGAAAAAAAAAGACGAAATACTAGTCGCTACACGATTTGAAGGTTTTGTGCCGAATCTAAAGTAATGAGTGGGTATTGTTGAGGAGTATTAAACCAAAAACGAAATAAATGATCAATACGATGTGGACTTTAATCGTTCCTCTTCTCTCTCCTCTAGTTGCTGGTAGTTTATAATGTAACTTAAACTTAAAACGAAACATGCTTACAAATCCCCTATGAAAACAAGTCTGAGATAGATTGATAAAGATAATTCCTGTTTATTCATTTTTGTATTGATTGTTTGAATCTTCCTAGTGATGTTTAGGACTTTAATTGATCAGTCTCCTATTAGCATTTGTCCATACTGTGTAGATTTCCTCGATATTATCGCTAAGTCACAAGTATTATTATAAGCAGAAATGATGGTAGTTAGCAGTAGAATCCAGGAAGTGGGTCTTGTTCCAGTACTGGTGTGGTGTGTGCTACTTATATTGACATAAGTAGTATATGGTGTTAGTCGTGAACAGAGGGTCTGGCAGCAGAGAGACAAGAGGATCGAACAGTAAAGAATGCAAACAGGATGCAATTTGTATGAAAATGCCAGAACAATGAAGTCTGAGTCATTTCGAGACAATTGGTGGACATTTTGCAAATTAAGCATTTACTTTATGATTGTTAGATTTTATTAACAAGTCCTGTAATTTTGTGTTCAATACATTCGATTATCCCCACCCGTGTTCTATTCACAACACTGGTACTGGGTTTGAGTCCCGCAGTAAACATCAACTCTGGGATGCAGGTACATTGGGCCGACGAGTCCCAAACGGAACGAAACGCGTGTCCTGGATTCTTTTGCTAGCCACTATCATCTCTTCCTACAATTCCAGTTGCTTTGACTGAGAAAAATATTAAAGGATATACGAAATATTCAATTAACAAATATTAAATAACACGATTTAAAATAGATTAATACTTTTTTTTCATTAAGTACAATAGTTGATGCGATAGCAGTGAAATGTGGTTACTTGGAAAATTGTTGGTTTCAATATTACTTAAGATTGAAAATGTTTATTGATCTTATGATAACCCTTGTTATCAGCAAAAATAACGAAAATTCCTATGCAGTTTAGATAATTATTCTTTTAAAAATCTGGCAAGAATATGCACTGACAACCTAGTGGTTGAAGCACTCAGTATTCATATAGTAGATCGGGGGTTCGAACCATTGAGTTAGCGGTACTATAGTTTGCCATGCTCCACACACATCGGTTTATTCGTCACACCCAGTGTACCTACCTGGCTACTTCACAAACAAGCACTGTACTACCTGTACCTGATAAATTGAACATAACTAAGATGATGAGAAAAATAAAAAACAAAATAGGAACAGCACGAAAGTATCAAACGAAAACAATCGTGATTTTGATTACCCAAACAAATGAATCAGTCTTCTTGAATATAAAAAGAAACTAGATTTAGTATAAAAGTTTTCTGATCATGAACTGGTAAAATGAAGGCAAAAAAATTACGAAAAGAATACTTTGATCCATCATAACTATTCAATGTCAAAGGAAATATATAAATCTATAATTTATTGGGTGTTATATCTATGATTTGAAAACTGACTGTGAAATATTCTTTGACAAAAACGAAGTAACTTAATCTGTGAATAATAAATGTTGACAAAATTCATAGACTGTTGTCTTCATTATGTGTAGTATTATACAAAAAAAATACTTTTTAGCACTGTTTATACAACCACACAATGAAATTAAATATGAAGCTCTATAGTATTTGCTTTACATACACACTGGTATATAATAAGCAACCTGAAATCAAATCAAATGTTGATACAGAGATGGTGATCAAATTTATTAAACAAGGTCTACAAATCTAATTGTATTGGTGATTATAAACCCTATGCGCATTACTTTACTCTGAAAATTCATATTTTGTTATTGCTGACATCTCAAATATTATTAACTTGTCAAAGGACTGAGACACCCGTTCAAAAACGAAACTGATCAAGTGGCATGTTTGAAATTTTGGATCACTTTCTTTGACTGTACAAATATTAAAATCAACCCACCAATTGCAGATTTGTTTTAAACTGAGTAAATATGAATGTTAACTGTATGTATTTATCTGCCATTAAAAGGTTAGAAAATATCGCGCAACTAAACACTGGAAAACTCGAACACAAACATTATATTCCTCGATCTTGACTACTTTCTATCTATCAACAAAGCGAGATACAAATATATTGAACTTCGTGGAAGAGTTGTAGCAAATGAACTGGTGGAGAGTTTTAATAACTGGATACAGGTGAAAGATACTGACTGTTATAAACATTTTCGAAATATATTATAAATAATGACAGTTTCAATATATGTTACAGAGATATTTAATGTAATATTATATAGTTGGTGTTGAGATTTTTTCATTATACCAAAATTCATAGAGCTATAATAACCATTATTATTCATTTTTGAATATAAATAATGGGAAACTATGAGGCTTTCCAATTAATAAAAAAGTACATACGTAGCCTCAGCGTTGAACAAGTTTTGATGATTGTGTATAATAGATGGAGGCGTTATGTTTAAAGATATGGGTAGCGATTTTGCCGAAGTTTCAATATATGAGCAAGGCGGCTTAATTGAGCAGATTTCATTGTCTTCTTGGACATTATCAGAACAAATATTAGATAGAAGCGAGTTACTCGAATCCCGCCGTATATGATGAACAGTTCATTCTATCAACCTTGATCTTGATTATTTATTGAAACCCTTATTTCGTTATTTTGTGTATATATTTATTTTGATTGTCAGTCAGTACAAAAATTCCATTACTTTTGTAAAACCATTTCTAATTGAAAATTATGTTTACACATAGACATTATCGTTAGACAATAAATCGAAATATAAACTCTAAAAAATATTCAGTGAACATTATTAGATACGGTAATTTAATATTTGAATTAAAGAAAACACATCAGGAGCTGAATATGACGAGGATAAAGTAACAACTTTAGATAAGTTTTCATTATAAAATCTGTTAATTGATAAATTAGTTTGTTTTCTAACAAAAAAACCGGTACTAGGACCGCTTAAATATGTGCAGATATAGTTGAATAAACAAAGTCTATTATGTCATATTTATTTTTCTGTAAAACTGACAAGAATCTGAGAAAGAATACTACAATGTACAAACATAAAATAAAAACATGAATTAACAAGAAAAGTAGGTTTGCCTTAGATATTGAGAGGAATATACGTAATGTGTATGTGCATTTACAAAACTATGATTGATCTTTAAGTTATAACTAATTACCGAGTTCAATCACTAATTTTCAGTGTTCAGGAATATCATGTTAGACAGATATCAGATACTTTTATACAAATCTTAGACTATGTAACATACAATAATTTAGTTCATTGACTGAAAAAAATTCAGCTAACAGTCAAATAATATGCTTTCGTTTAATGAAAGATAGTTTACCTATACGTTGTCTGATCAAATACCATATAAAGTAATGGATGTTGGTTTACATTACAGACTAATATAATGACTAAAGATTATAGAGTACTGAACAACTGTTTCATCAAAATTTACGACTCATAAATAAGGGTTCGATACCCCGTACCTCCTGAAGAATTCCTTATGTTAATTATAGTAATCTTTTCAGAAGAATATTCGGAATCTTAGTGAAATGAAGTAACCGCTAGAATTCAACTGTTTTGAAAATGCAGCGGATCTCCTTTGATAATGCATGCGTTAATTGCCAGATGTTGAAAACGTTAATTACTAGGTTAAACATTTCATGTTTTCCTGCAAAACCTGCAATTCCTGATTAAAATTCCTAAAGAGGATGTGGTTGTAAGCTGTTTAAGAGATTCGTATATTATATTGGAAGAGATATTCATCTCTATAAATCATCTACCTTCTTGAATAAACTATCTAGGCCTAAAAGACATTTGAAAAAAGTCATAGAACTAATGTTTTATCATTCCAGCGGTCTTTTTCAAAATATCTTATCAGAAACTCTTACTTTACCGAAATCAATAATTTTTCCATAATGAATATCTAGAACTACAAGCAATCAAACGAGGACAACAGCTGATGAAATTAATTAAGAATTTCTTAAATTATTAAACATTTGGAAACGAACACAGAAAAAACTTACAAATGTTGTTCCAAATGTGATGACTTAAAATTTTCTGGTCTTTGAGGTAACGGAGGTGGGACAATAACTGGATCAAGCAAATGAGTAGATGACAATGTTGTATCATCAATGATAGTGGAATTCGTTTTTTCAAATTCAAGTCCAATAAGATCAGTTGTGGATAATATACGATTTTTATTATTGTTATCAAGTTGTAAAATTGAATTATCCTGAAAGTTAAGATCTACACAACTGCTAACCATATGAATACTATCATTATAAGGTGTAAATAAATCATTTGAAATTGTAGTATTTAATTTCGATGAAAATTCATGAACAGGTGAAGTAGTTAGAGAATGTGAAATAGAAAATATTTTATCGAATTCGGAATCAATTTCATTATCAGTTTGTGATAAAGGATCAGAGATATTTACTTTCTTTGCATCAACTGAATTATTATTATTATTAGTTGGATAATCATCAAATTCATCTTTACTATAATTACTACTAATACTGCTACTAATATTCACGGATTGTTTAATTAACGGTGGAGCTGGTCTAGGAGGCGGTGGACGATTACGAGCTATAATTAAAGTAGACATAAATGATAACAATGATAATGGAGCAATCAATTTTTATTAAAAAAAGAAAAAAAACAGTTGTATTGAATCAATATATGTTATAAGTCAAGCACTAAGATTTAATTGAATTCTTTCATAGATAAAACTAAACAGATTAACTGTGAACTTCATATTGGTATTCCTCACAGAAGAAATTTGCTCTGTTAATACCTTTGAAGATTTAAATTGTTTGACTATTAAACTAAAGACACGAATAAAATCAGACCTTTTAAACTTCTGAAAAGTTGATTATATACAAGAAAGCCTCTTTTTTAAATTATTTTGAAAACAAATGAATTATAATGTGATAAAATGAATTAGTTACTAATAAGTTCTTTAAAAAGAAATTTTACCACCCTTCAATTAATCATTGTCTTAAGATATAACTGAGTTTCACGTTAATAGGAATAGATATGTTTAAATATTCTAGTGATGGTTATAACGGTATATTTCGTAATATATAAACTAGTTGGATCGGATATTATAACACTAAAACACTGATAATAAGCGAATTAGCTACACACCAATGTTTCAGGTGGTTGTAGTTTGATAGAAGCAAATTTTTTAAATAGGGGATACGGAGAGAAGGAAGTATGCACAACGAATCACAGTAATTGTGAAGATTGATTGATATTTATCACATCTATCTTAAAGTGTTACCACAGTACATCACTTTGTAAAACGGAATAGTGAAGAAGAAATAGAAGAAGAAGACCATGTCCAACCATCTCTCTGTGTTTTTATCTACTCCAATTTAATATGTTGAATGAGTGAATAACTATTTTGGGGAATATAATACATAGGTTGTTAAGTATTCTACACTAGGTCTTTAATAATGATGTATACGAGGACACAGGAGCTCATGAACCATATGATACTGTTAATTACTGAGATCGTAAGACTATCTAGCAAGATAATAATGTTTTAAATACCTTTCGTTCTATATCTGTTGTTAGATTAGAAATTAAATTTGTTGTTCTCCACAAATTTAATACATGACAGTTCGGATTTCGAGGGTTAGTCTTTCTTTAGTAAGCTTTTTATACGACGTGACGTTTGTACACAATATGAGACAAGTTGCGTAACACTTAAAATACGTCTTATTACTTATTAGTAGTTAATGTGTTTAATACTGAAATTAACGATTGTTGAAACAGTTACATCGATTAACAGTAACTAAATTCAAATGACCGTAAGGAACTTCGGTTCATAATGAAATACATACCACGACAGAGTTCAAAATTTTAATATGTACTAAATTAAGGAAGACTACAAGAAGTTATCATAACCTAGATTAGTAAATCTTGTAATGAAATCTGTTTAATGTTGACGAAAAACCCACTATCCCATACTTGATTATGTTACCATATTTTTATGCGGTAAATACGGAAAGTAAGCTAAGTAAAAAGCCTGTACGTATTCGAAAGACGATACTTTTCGAATATCATTAATTTATGGTGAAATATCGATTTACGGCATATCATTTCAGCTAAATAAAACTGAGAAATAGATATTCAAAGACTAAAATAATCATAACCAGTTTTGAAAATAATTAACAGCTTGTATAACTTTAGTATAAGTTGACATTAAAAATTGTAGTAATACAGAATATTTTTCTGGCATATAATTTTAACACCATCTATCACATTATTCTTGTACCACTGATAATAATGATGGATTTACTTGAATGGTCACGGAAAAGAATAACTGATGATTGGAGATATCATGTAACACAATTCTAAAGTTTAAAAAACATGTCTCACCGATCCACCCCTTAATCAAATCATTCATTTATTCACAAAACTAAAGAAATTTTCTTTCATAAACCTATAAGTTCTCTTCATACTTATTTTATTCCTCTGTGAGATATTCGGTAAACATTTGAGGCGGTTCGGAATACTACAATCACTGACATATTCAATCAATCAATCAATCAATCAATCAATTATTATTATTATTATTATTATTATTATTATTATTATTATTTGAATATTGGTATAAATATTGGTATAAAGCGGCACTGAATACATGTATGCCAGACAAGTCCCTTGGTTTATGTGTGGGCTGCCCGGGTGCCCAGACAGAAGCAGGTAGTTTTGCTAGGAAACCACACCCGGAGCCTTCGACCTAAAGGTCTGATTCACAAGGCAGTGGAGATACAGTCCCATGGTAGCCGGTGACCAATAATTGGTTCATACACCATTTATCCCTTCAGAATCCTGGAGCCCATATATAACATTGGCTTGGAATAAGGGCTTTCCCACTCCCGTAGGTGGATCCTCCATATTCATCGACCCGGTTAAAGCGCCGGACATTCGCTTTTCGTCTTCTTAATTTCGTAAACAACACCCCCACCGCAAGAAGGCAATGAGTAGGACTTCGCTGGCAGTGGTTTTATGCACGTGGCCATTTGAGAGCATTTCGAGAGGGAGAGTTGACTCCTCCCACTCTCAGTTGTTGGTTGAAGTTAGGCATTAAAAAGATGGATGCTGGCTCAGTGGTTCGCGTGCGAGATCGAAGATCTTGAATTTGATTCTCAGTTGAAAGATTATGGATGTCCATTGCCCAGAAGTTCTACACTAGGACGAAACGGCCGTTCACCACTTCCAGGTTTACAATGGTTTCTAACTTGGATCGCTTCGTGATCTTACTAAAACTTCGAAAATCTCCACAACCTTAAACTGATAATAAAAATTCCATCAACACGAAAGCAGTTTAATGAGCTGCTGATAGGATTTAAAATAACCACGTGAATGAAAGTAATAAATAAGCTCTTGAAAACAGTATTTAAACTTACGTTGTGATGGTTCAACAGCCCGATTGATAGTTAAGTTAGTAATATCATTTTCAAAATCTTCATTATCATTATTAGAAGTTTGTCCATTGTTGTCATCAAATTTAGAAGGTCGTTGTTTATCTAATTTCTTTATCGAAGGTAATGCGTTGAAAATTTCAGCTGGTATTCGACAATCATTTATATTAGATTCTTCACGTTCTGAAATCTCAATCAATCTTTGCATACGATCTAACCAATTTGTAGAATTGTATAATGAAGTGGATAAATGAATTTCATAACCACCAGTTATTTTAGGTAGTCCGTTTGATGAAGAATCCCATGGTATAATATAATTATCCAAAAATGCCGCAGCGATAGACGCCTGTCTGGGAAAAAATGTATATTTTAACTAAATAGCCTTAAAAAAAGTAAATGTTGTTAAACAAACACGTCCTACACGGAAAATTATATTTTATATTTCTAAACTAGATTATTCACAAGTTCTATGCTTGATAATTTTTAGAGTATGGGACGACGAGAATTAACTGGAGCTTTCAGAAATAGTTTATTTGTTAATTAACACCCACAAAAATAGAGAAACGTTTTAACGATTATAATACAAGGTTAGCTTCTTTTTTGTAGAGTTCCATTCTCTAAGCTAGATGGTTTAGTTGTAGAGCTTGCATTTTTCCTCTGAACAACATTATCAGCACATACTTCAGGTTAGCTTCATGATTCTAATTTGATATGTTCCATATCTGTTCAAGAGCTTATCAGTGAATTATTTTGGGACTAAATACATACATTATCTATATCAGTTGACAGTCATTCGATGAACATGAGGGTTATACCTAGTTGTTTTTCACAGTGACTAATTTAGTCACGTTTCGAATAATCTGATAGTAGTGTTTTTAATTGTATTTCAGTACAGAGTAGGGAAAAACCCCAAGGAAATCTATTGTGACTACAAATTTCAAATACTCTTCGCTTGTCATTGTGTTGACAATAACTGGCTCACACCTGTTAACCCTCGTGGAGGAGCATAGGCCGTCCACCAGCATTGACAATAACTGAACTGGAGTTAAAAAGAAATCTCTAACAATGCAGTATAAAAACCAAGTGAATAATATAGTTTACTCTTAGTGGTGTGATTACGAAGCATTGACTCAGTGATGAAAACACTCGACTACCAACCACTATGTCACAAGCTCAAAATCCACTCAATTTACTTCGGGCAGTATCGTCAGCCCTCACACTTCAAGTGTAGTTTAAAGGCAAGTGCATGAACTTATAGCTGGCTGATGGTAGTATATGAAATTGTTGTTTGATTAGATAAGTATACTAACTTGTATACATGATAAAATTGACAACTGTTTCAATATGACAGTTCTAATATGCATATCCTTTTTAAATGGTTTCTTCAAATACGTGATGTCAATCATTACGAAATACGAATGTTTAACAGTTTGCAAGATTATTATTTCAATAACGAAAGTGCAGACAAAATTATCTTCCTACTTTCTATTTTAGAGACGAGAAAACTGTGAAATAAAAGGAAATTTTGATATTTAGTTTTCATATCAACCTGCATTAAAAGATCTGAAACTAGAAGCACAAGTCCCTAAAACGAAGAAAAAACTGATCAAAGGCACTATAATTCACTGAAGATTTTAAGATTTACAGGATTTTCAAATGAGCTCAATCACGTGGAACTAAGTGCAGACAGGTTGTAATTATGATCGTTTATTCAAAGTCAAGTTTATTATTAATTTAACACATATAGTAAGACTTTTGGCAAACTAAGCCGTTGATGGGAGTCTAGTGGTGTTCGGTACCTCCCCGTTGCCCATATCATAAGAAGGACGTCAAATAGAGACGGAATTATTATTCATTATTATAATTAGTAGTGGTATTAGCATTAGTATTATTACTGATCTCCATGACATGGTGGCGGGATTGTAAAGAACAAACGAGAAACTGCTTGAAGTCAGTTAAACATGACTAATCCGTAGGTACTCTTCCTGTAGCATTATCTCCGTAACTTTTAAAACCCTGTCGCACCTATGTTGCAAGAGAAGTGGGTACTATTTTTAAGCTTGACGTTGTCTAACTACTGTCTACATCTAGGTTGTTAGAAATTTTGGGTGATTGTGGGGAGCACAATGCTACCTGTTACAAACACCTTTCGTCTCAAACTTTGAACTTGATGTTTTCAGCCTTATCCTTGTTCAACAAACCCACCTGAATATTCAGAACATAAAGAAATAAGTGGTTTGTTAATTATCACGACAGCAAAGAAAGATCATTGTATCAACACAACAGACATTGTGAGACAACTTAGATTAGAAGAGATCCATGTATCATCATACATTGCACATGACTGACTGTTGTCAAAAATTAATAATCATAAGTTGGAAAATGAACTTACTTAGAATTGGCATAAATCAATAGTATAGTAAGAGGATCTAGGAAATGTAACAGTAAAATAGTCCCATCCCTTGAAGATCCGATCAACTTTAGGCTTTCTAAGAAGTCTGTATCATTTAATAAGTATGGTTTAACATCTTCGGATAATAACTGTTTTGAATTACTTTCTATAATTTTTAAATCAACTTGAACAGTCGCATTGATTGGACCATAATCTTCGGTAATATCTGAAATAACTTTACGTCGAGATTGTCGTGAGATCTGTAGAAGATTGTCCAAAATATGAATTCAAATGAACACAATTTACATTTGGCAATTATCATAATGAAATATAATGTTATTTTTCCTTCTTTCACGTATTAAGATCACAGTCTATCTTTAGTGAAATGTAAACTATATGAACAGTAAGAATTGAACGCTTCAGAAAATATTCAATTTCAACACGACAGATAACAATGTATGAAAATAGAAACAAAATATATTACTTGAACCAAACATGATCGGTGAAATCTAACCTGAACTTCAACGCTGATAAAGAATTATTGCTTATGAAAGTTTATATTCTACAGTCATCAATATTCAGGGACTGAATGTAGTACGTTTCTGTTGACCTATGAGCATCTTTATGGATGCCTTCGATATTGCATACAGTTATAAGTTTATGGTGTATGTACAATCTTAAAGGTTATCTCTTTATCACAATAGAAAAGATTTGCTCAAAAACATGATCTTTAACGTACACTAGAAAAAGGTAGATAATTTCCTAGACTATAAATAGTAAAATGTTTTAGTACGTCATATAGCTGAATGACAAATACTTACAAGGCGTCAGTAAACAAAATGTTAAAACTGGTATAAGCGTGAACACCGATCGTTTGTATGAATAAAGGTTGACAAAACAAAATTGTAACTGGTTTTACATGTTCAAAGGTAAAAATGATTTACACATAGATTGTTAGTTATGTCTGTAGACCCAGTCACTATGACTATCTGCAACCACAAAAAAAGAATACTGGAAATATCCTAAGATTTAAACAGACACTTCTACAAATTGTAGGTGAAAATAGTATTGCTAAAATATTAATCTCGTCTGTAGATATTTTGCTCATAGTCCATGTTTTTCAACTAGTTACAATGAGGTTTGCAATCACATTAGATATGTATATATTATATATTAAAATAACACTAGACTATTGGTTGGCAAAAAAAAATATCCACTGTAATTGCTCAAATCTCGAGATGATACAATTTATGTTAATTTCATTTCAAGATCCATATTCTAATAAGGATTAATAGTTAAGTGGCAACAAATAATTTCAACTCAAATTACAAAAAGAATATAATTTTTTTAACTGTCAAAAATGTAGAAAATATGAATACATGACCTGATCATATTTAAATATTTTACATTTGTATGATAACTGGTAAATAAAAATGATTATGAATGTGTAAATTAATTAAGAATAATTAAAATGATCAATTCACTCGTTTTGTATTATTAATTTCTATGGAAATAAGTATGTAAATAACTGGATTCATTGTTTGAAAATTTAAACCATTTGGATATACATATATATACAACGGAGGGGAAAGAGATATGAATTGTTAAAGGTGAAACCAGAAAAGGCATGTGAAAAAAGTAGAACTGATAGGGATAAACGTAAGAAAAGATGTGTAAAACCAATATTTATTGTAAGTTAATAAGCAAAAAAGTTAAATAAAAGCTTGATATTTAGGATAATGTCATGAAGTTTTACATAGACATAAGTAATGACACTCAGATATCAAAGAATATCCTAAAACAATAACCTTTGTTAACTTAATAGCTCCACATGAAGCCTATTTTGAGCTGCTGATAGTTTCAAGCTCATATAAAGAAGGAGGGTTAAGAGTAGAATTAGAGACCTCAATTTATAAAACACAACTTCATAACAAAATCCCCAATAACTAAAATAACAATTAAGTGCAACAAAAGAGTTGGGAGGAAGAACAAGTGCCGACAGACTGAAAAGAAGGATACCTCATCAGAATACTAAAGGAAGATCTCAATAAATCAGAAAACTACAGATGCTTCACATTACTACCGGTACCGGGAGGAGTTTTCAACGGTGTTGCTCTACCGGATGAAAGATTCAGTAGACATCCAACTTCGAGGATCAGTCTTCCATAGACCAAATCGCGACACTACGGATCATCGTTGAACAATTAATTGAATGAAATTCGTCACTATGCAGCAACGTCCTTGACTGTGAGAAGGCATTTGACAGAGTGAATTGGAGAGACACATGGAAGCTTCTTCGATACTATGAAGTACCTAAGACAGTCGTCAACATCATCCGGAATTAATACAACGCACTACATTGTGAAGTCGAGCAAGCAGGACAACTAGAAACACATTCCAAGTCGAAAAAGAGTCAAACAAGGATGATTACTTCCACCCTTCCTTTTTTTCTGGTGGCTGACTGGATTACGAAGACCACCACATCTGAGGGGAAGCACAAAATAAAATTCACAGGCTAGATGCAACTAGACCATTTGGACTTCGCAGATGACCTAGCTCTTCCATCTCATACACACCAACAAATTCAGGTGAACACAGACACTGTAGCAGCAGTCTCTATATCAGTAGGCCTACACACACACAACGGAAAGAGTTAGATCATCAAATACAACACTAAGAACACCAACAAAACCACACTTGATTAAGAAACATTGGAAGAGATGGAAACTTTCATGTAATTAGACAACACTATCGATGAACAAGGAGAATTAGATGCAGATGTAAAGGCGAGGATTGGCAAATCAGGTACAGAACTTCTGCAATTGAAGAACACGTGTAACTCTTGAATACAAACGTGAAGACAGCGAATTTGTAATGTACGGAGCTGAAACCTGCGGAACTACTACAACCATCATCAAAAAAGCATAAGTATGTATAAATAGTTATCTACGAAAGATCCTCAATGTTTGCTGACTGAATACGATCAGCAACAGCCTACTGTGACGGAGAACGAACTGACTTCTATCTGAAGAGAGGATTAGGAAAAAGACGTTGGAGGTGGATAGGACATACATTGTGGAAATCATCAAACTGTTTCATAGTGCAAGCGCTAACTTGAAATCCTGAAGGGAAACGAGAAAGAGGAAGACCAAAGAACACACTGAGTTGGGGATTTGAAGTAGATATGTGAAGAATGAATAACTGGGAAGCACTGGAAAGGATCGTCTAGGATAGAGTTGGATAAAGAATGCTAGTGGACGGTCTATGCTCCTCCACAAGTAAGTAGGTAAATGAGAAAAGACGACCATATAATATTTTGATCTGGTCTATTTAAGACCTTTTCAAATGAGGCCCGGACAAATTGAAACATGTAGTCTTTCAACCTGCACAAACTGCACCGCGACTGTTTTCATTGACGCATTCATTAACCAATCAACCGTTTGTGCCAATTATGTTATGCGACGTAAAATCACAGCATGGCACAAACCTATAGCCTTTAAGTCGTTTAATAAAGGTTTTTAACCAGGTTCAGTTTTATTGACCTTCCACTTTTTGATTGATGAATAAACAGACATCCTGATATGTGCTGGTGTAATGAAAATAAATCAAATGAACAATCAACATTATATATATATATATATCAGCCAGTAATTTCATTTCTGCATATTTTACCTACCACATGAACTTCTATATTGAATATCGCTCCTACGGGTCGATGGTCACTTGTTTTCAACTCCGCTCGATTGTACAGTAACAATCGACCGGGATTCCATTTTATACTTGGAGAATTATTCTGCATACAAATAATGCCATTTTCGTCCGTTTTAGGAAATGTCAATTTTACGCGACGCCATAATATACGATCAGTCCATGCAGGCGAACGTGCTTTCTCAGATGTATCATAGTCATCACAAAATAAATCATATTTGTATGTCGGCGCAAATCGAACGGGGCCTTCTTCAAAACCACGAAAAACATTACCAGCTAGTTTCTCAATTGTCAACTGATCATAACGTAGGAGATCAAGCCAAGAAGATTGTGCAGTTAACCGTTTGACCTCATTGCCTGACAAATTAATGCGATAATTGAAGTCTCCACACCAAAATACATAATCATGACTAAGAATATTACGACCATTAGGTAAACTAAGACGACGACAAATCTCCTGAAAATCATCATTACGTTCACGAACAGCGGATTGACCAGCTGTAAAATGGCTGCAAACAAAGCATATTGATGTCGCACCCAACTAGATAAAAAGATAGATAAAGGGGTTAGAAAAACAACCATTATCTCAGTTAATGTCTTATAAACTGTACACACCATTGTTTATAACAGTTATTTACATTAAGTTTAGTCAAAACATAATTTTCACGTTCGACAAAAAAAGAAGATTCAAATGTGCGCCGATGAAAGTTCAAACAAACTACATTTGTTTAACTGTATTATCTTCATTACTTCTAAAATTAAAATTGTGATTTTCAGGAGTAACATGAAATACATTAGTGTTATTTAATAAGTTTTAAACACAAATGTAAAACTTTTCGAATGAAGGAGTAATATTTCATATTGGAAGAATATCTATCTAATCAATTGCTATAGTGGATCGTCAACTGAATGAACGCCTAGTAGACACATTTACACATTCGTATAAAAATATAAAACCAAAGCCAAATGACAGCATTGTTCCCTAAAATTGCATAACTGAATGTTGATTATTTTGTTAAATTGTTCAATAGAAATTTGTTTCAATTATCTTAACATTACATTACTAATGTTTAATATTATTAATAAAATATTCATTTAATGTATCTCTTCAAAACAGAAAAAAAAAGATTCAAGGATTTTCATTAGCGATCAGCTGAAAAATTGAAAATTTTTAATTTAATTAATCTGTCACTTTAAAGTAATCTATATGTATAGAAATCAATACTCATGCATGAAAAAAAAGGTTATTATCAACGTATATACATATATACCTTGGAGATATTAACTCAACTTATAATGATCAATATACATAAGCATGACCTCATCAACGTGTAAAACATTGATTAGATCAATTCAAACAAATTTTATACAAAATAAAACACGTAATCTTTCTTTACGAGTTAAATGAAAGCTTTACAGTATATATCAATTACAATAAAGAAATGAAACAATGTAAGGCTGACGTATTTTATTCATTAAAATGTAACCAAATTTAAGAGTTACTGATGAACCTTCAATGGAATAATTCATTAATTATATTATAAAACGAAGTCGTCAACAAAATACAAATATAAATTTGGGAAGATTTTAAACTATCGTTAAATCTGTCAATATCTAGTTTTTTTAACAAATAACGAATAATATCGTTCATAGATATTTAACAACTAGTAAATTTGAAAGATTTTCTGAACTGAAAATTCATGCAACAAGCAAGCATTATTTACGTCAATGCATAAATTGTTATGCTTATTATTTTTGGTATACACTGACTATGTATCATAAATGATGATTGATAGACTGTAAAAATATTATGCACTAACTTAGAAAATGTGTAGCTTAAATGGTTGATTTTTAGTGTTACTTGTTTGTGAGTTGAAGGGTTTGACTGTAAAAGCATTGTTGTTATCAAATCATTCAACTGATAAAACAAAACACCACTAAACGTTATCTTTCAAATACTGGATTTAGGTGCAGTTTTCATAAAGAGTAGTATTATTCCTTAGCTTACTAAGACAAACTACTATTTTAAAAGGTAGTAGCACAACTGAATATTATGCTCAAGTAAAATAAACTTAGGTTATTTACACTGGTATAATATTCGTAATTATGAAAACATGAACAATCCCGAAAGTAGATTTCAAAGTTCCTCACTTTTTAAATCCTTAGTAGGATGAAGACTGTCGTAAGTTTAAATAATCAGAAATACTTCTCATCATGACTTGAACTAACTAACTTCAAATAAGCCCAATCGCAACAAAACTTCACCTCGATAATAATTATAAGCCTACCAAATGGATTCCTAAATATTAACTGCATAAAAACTATAACCAGTAGACTTTAAATATAACCAGTGAAAAGTGCGATAACGGACTATGACTAAGCTATACATCTCTAACTGGCTAATATTATAAATATATGTCACCAGGTCCTGATACAGTGATATAGAATAGATTTAACGTGGTTAGCTGCAGAATCCAGAGATCTTTAAGCATCGTGATTGCTGCTACAAACACAGTAAAAAACTTGAACTTATGACGTTCATTATTTAACATTGTACAACTTGCTTTTTCTAAATGACTAACTATATGCTTAATAAGTTTGCATAATTGTCATAAGTAAGTGACCTAGTAAGGTAACTTAGAAGGTAAACTTGCTCGATAACTTAAACTAAGAAATAAATTTGATCTGGATATCGAAAAAATGTAACCCATGAAAAAAGTAACGTAAAACATAATGGAGCGTTAGTTCGAAAAAAAACTTCTGACCACGTGAAGAGGTTACAAATTAAAAAGGGCTTTTCTGAAATACTGTACTATTATTATAAAAATATGTGCAAGACAATAAGAACCTCGATTTCTGAGGCATCTAAGGTACTTGCCATGTCAATATACAATGACGGAAAAAGCACCTACTAAAATAGTTATTCAGGAAGACATACGATAAGCTACTAAGTAACCAGCTGTGTATAAAAAGGTAATGGAAGAAAATAATTGGAACAGAGGCGTAAAGCCCAAAACATAAAAAAGGATCGAATTCAATGAACGTTCAATGAATGCGTCAAAATAAAAATCGACTGTTACAACTTCTGAAGATTTACAACTACATTAATGAATAAAAGGAACGGAACAAATTCAAGTAAACACTTACCAAAGCCCTAAAACAACGGGGGGCGTCAAGCACCATATCCGAAAATTAACGGAAATGAAGTTACTTACAGAATGTTATTAAGTAGTATAACGTGATATACATAATACAATCGAGTGAATAAAGACTATAAATTACAACAGAACACAGCGATTAAAAGTGGATTAACGGTTTAGCCAAACTTAACATTCGCTAAGACGTGTTGGCAATTAATTGCGTACCGAATAAATAAATCAATTGATGATTCATACTATAGTGTGAAATCTGTAAAACTATGAACCATGCAGAGCGCATAAGCATTATGTATTTTCTTTTGGGGGAATATAGAGAGTGAACTCTTTTAATGTTACGTTACTTATTTAGAGAGGGCGAGAACAAAATAACTTGCCATTTAGAATAAATGTATTTCATACAGTTAAAAATTGACTGAAATACATTATAATAAATTACTGTTTAATCTCAGTTCAAATAAAATATTATACTCCAGATACCAAGTAAGCGAAATTTCTTTTTAGAAAAAACACTATCAATAGTATTTATTACTAGTAAAAAAAAGAATGAATTGGGAGTAAAACCTAAGTTTGAACTATTTACAACTCACAACGCTGCAAGTTGATTTGCATCAGTAAACTTTTTTAAATGATCCTTTTATCCATTCAAATACTCGATACATCTTTAAGTTTTAGTGGAATAGAGTTCAACTATATCGGATATGAGACAGATAACCACCGATGACATTGAATGCTTGCTCAATGTCGCGAAATGATTAAAATTAGATATGTAAACCATTTGATGTCTACTAAGTGATCGAAAAGTTAAAACTCTCCATGAGAATTCAAGGTTCAGGGTTCGACCTCCAGTGATGGCGATAATTCTCACAGTTGGGGAGTCATATACTAGAATAAAATAGATGCCCATCGCTTCTCAGTTTTTAATGGTTGTTTGACTTAAATTAACCTATGATGTAAACTACAATATTCTCTTAGGTGTTAACAGTATTTACATTTAGCAAAATAAATGGAATTAGTCGCTTAAAAGTTGAGACTTTCAGATTAAAACTGAGTCAAGTACAAATACATACACAATTTGTCCAGTAAAATGGCATAACCTATCGTGAAGAGTAACAGGAAGTTATAAGGATCAATCAAATTTACCTGCAATATTACTTTTCAATTATATACAATCCAGAAAAAATATTCTTTAGATACTAACACAGATTTATTGAATTGAACGAAATGAATCGCTAAGTAAAAATGTGAATTGTTACCGAGAACACAATTTAGCATGTTTTAACTACTCTGTTTCTCAGCAACTTTGATACATGTATATCTAAACGAGGCTAGTCGTATTATAAGTAAAAGAAAATTTTCAATCATCTGCTAGAAACCTGACCAATTCTGTACTACAGTGTCTTAGTTATTTGCGTACAAGCGAAGCGGTGACAACCAACATTACGAAACCTGAGTTGAAGATTCACAAGACATTTATCATCCATAGAGTTTAATTATCTCTAACTAGTAGAATACAATATAAGTAGTAGCACTTCTGATATATGATTCGCCTCCCCATCATCAGTCGTACCAAGACATTTGAGGCCATATATGGGCAACATCGTTTATTGAGCATGCTTTACCGATTAATCAGGAAATTATCCTACATCAGTTGGCAAATGCAGTCAATATTAAGCTGATTAGTACCTTCTTGTATATGCGTCAATAACCGATTCTACTCTTTATTTCACAGACAAATAAACGTTCGTAAACCAAGGTACTCATTACTAACCAGATAATTTTATGATAAAATACATCTGATTAGGAAAGGTCAAGACGTTTATCCGGCTTTTTTCGATACTCGGTTCGATTACTTTGATATAACAAAGATTACGATCCGATTGACTAGAGTATGGATGACTTAGATGAGGTAATTAAAAATATATTGGATACTCTAAACTAACTACTCATAAGTAGGTACAAGTGCTAGAGAAAAATAAGAATGTTGACGAATTTCAAGTTTGCATCGTAGGGCAAACCGATCAATAATCGAGAAACAAACACACAATACACTTCTGAAATAGCCAACGCCTACATCACATCGATAAGAAGATTGAAAAGTAGTTTTTTTTCAAAAAAGAGGATAATGCAAAAAGAACGTATTTTAATAGACAGGTAAAAAGATGGACGGACAGACAGAAATAGCTATTATTATAGTGACACAAGAACACGTGATAAGTGAATAACTCACATGACATAAGGGGAAATTTTGATTCTCAATAATTAATCGATAGAAACGAAATTTCTACTTTATGTATTCATTACAATCTTTCAGTACGTTTACAAACAAAATTGAAGAAAGATGGTTAGTCGAAATGCCTCATAACAAATTTACAAGAAATTGAAATACAGTATTGAAAAGGAAGATGAAATTTATTTGACTCGTTGTCTGTTGATTTAATAAGTTTAATCTGTAAAGAGGAGACATTGAGTTTACCAGAAAAACATTGAGATCAGTTGACAAGTTCTGATTAACTTTAGTTACTCTGTTTTGGCTGGTCCTATGTCAAGCCCACGTAGGTTATGATAGCTTCTGGACAAACCAATTTATCCATTTGTTTCAAGCTATATTTTGACCTTGTCACTTATTCACTTATCAACTTTGACTGATTTTATATGAGCTATGTGTGTGCACTGCTTATCCTACTTATCACATGTCTAACTTATTTTTGTCTGACTATAAATATTGATTCACGTTTGGCTGGATCGAGTTGACATACTAGCCTTTCCCATTGAGCGTCACTTTGTTTTGCTTCGTTATTCGATCAACGATTGTACAAAATATACGCATTCTAAAACCCATTTATGTATTTGACTTATTTAATCCGTTATTCATTGGCGCGATTTAAGTCGATGATTATATATGAGGACTGCGTACATGTATATTTCCATAAGAATCATTCATACGATAACAAATGAAGTAACATTACGAACCACTAAAATTCTTCAAGTTACTTCGATGAAGCAGTGTTATCACAGAAAAAAAACTGGAGATTAGTAGAAAGTTGTTTTCCCTAGTATTACGCACTATATCAATTAAACAGTTGAAATTTAAACAACGTAGATCTGTGTGGCTGTATTTTTTATACTGACAAAGGATAATGATTATAGTAAGAAGGTCAGGACTACAACGGATAGAAATGTTCTTTGAAGAAGACGAAAAATACAGTAATAGATCAAAATGTTAGGCCTTCGTTTAGCATTCTAGGATTTTCGGATTACATAGGTAGACGTGATATGAGTGGTGGTTGCCTAAAAGAATTCTTATTTGTTATTAAATAACTTACCATCGGCGCACAAAAATAAGTTAACAGTGTCAATGTTTAAATTATTGAATGACGAAGATACTTTATTTCTAAGTGATACATCTTTAATAGAGGCGAATTACATAATAACACAGTGAAGTTAACATCAAGTCGAGAACAGTACCAAAACGTAAGTGGATTGCATTGTGATGCTTTAATTTTTCTATCATAACAACAACTTGATGTAATTCAGTTTTAATTATATTAACAGCTTCACTTGATTGTTGATAATATAATTATTACATTAGATTCAAGTGAGAAATAATTACAACAGTTGGTTATTGAGTAGTGAACAATACATTGTGTTCTAGTTTTGGATGTTGGTTGCATCCGACCGGTCAAATTACAATGTACTAGTTAAAGCAAGTGACTCTGTATCGTCGTTTGCGGTGGTCGACGTTAGGAGGTAATCAGCAAGAAGTCATTGGAGTTGAGTTACGGATTGATTGACACTCATTAGTAAGGCAAGTCTATAATATTAAGAGGATTTGAACCCACAGATAATCCAGTGTCACGCAGTCAGAGATGTTGCCTCGAAACTAATTAGGTAGTGTTTAACCTTTTGTAAGACCGATAAATTACCAATAACTAATTCCACGCTGTTCAATCCTTAACAATACTCAAATTCTATCGACCGGGTAAGTTGTAATGTCATTAAACTACAAGTTTGTGAAAAAAACCTTAATTATGTACAAATGTGCTGTCTATCTGAATTATTTTTACAAAGTCAGATACATTTGAAGATGACAGATGTATTTGCATACTATGAGGGGTACTTTTATTACTAAAATAAGCTGATACATATCAAAAACCATTAAACTGTTGCTGTGTAGTGGAAAACTGAACACCTGTTAGAAAAAAAACCGTTTGACAATCTAAGTATTATTACGAAGAAATAATTACTGAAATATTTACTTTATTATCCTTTATTAAGTAGTAATTACTACCACAAGCGGACAAGATCAGAGGTATACAGAGGAACAAAATTCAGCACTTACTTGAAATCGTATTGCTACAGCCCCTTTATTTCCTGCAGTTCCACCCAGTCCAGTTTTAACTGATGAAGTGGCAATATTTCTAAGTGAACCAGCAAGACGTTTACGAACAAATAAAAATAAACATACACCTACTAATTGAACTGATGTAATTAGTAGATAAGAATCTTGTTCATCAATATCACGATTTAAATGGCGTTGTAAGAACTGACCCCAATCACGTTGATTAGCTGATGGTTTGGAACCGGCAACAATATTTGATGTAGTTAAATCAACAATTTCTTCAAAACCAATAGCAAATACATCCAGTGGTTTATTTAATTCATCTGAATCAGTAAAATCAGGGCTTTTATAACCCCAGTTGACGTTTTGATTAACAGTTTGTGCTAAATCAAGCAACCAATCGGTAACACATTCATGTTTATGAGCAACACTACGAAAATGTTTACCGCCGTTTACATTCCATGTACCAACAAATAAGCGTAGATTGTGAATTTGAATAAATTCTGGATATCGATGTAAAATATTAGTCAACAGTATAGGTGTTGAATGAAGTAATCGTCTGGGTAGATATTGCTCTATTTTACAAAATATAAAAAATATAACAAAAGCAAAACAAAATTATTTTCTAAAAAATAATAATGTTTAAACCGCTTTATTTGTAAACAATGAATAATAGAATGATTTTTTTGTTCTCTCCTGCTCAAAACCGATTATCAATTATATGTATAGACATATTGCGTAATAACCTTCAATTTTCTTCAGTTAGTAAGAGCTTTCTTATAGGAAACTACTCTTATTTTACTAAACAATTAGTGTTACACGTGAATTGAGGTTTAGCTATCAACTTGCAACTATCATGCAAGTCTCGTATCCATCGTAGAACTAACAAGCGTTCAATCTTTACTGTATCAAGTGAGGAATTCCGAAAAAAAAGCATTCACACGACGGATAAACATAAACACCAACCTACGAAAGTAAGATTTAGACCTAATTCAAAAAAGAATCTTATAAATCAATCGCTTGGTCTTAAGTTACAGTTTAGATAAAAGTGAAGAATTTGAACACAACCATTAAGTGAATACCTTTTCGACTTCAACCATCATTCTTTGAAACTAAAAATAACTGTCGAGTAATATAAAATATTATTTATGCGAAATTCCTAATTCTAGTGAAGTACAACTGATTGCAATATAAAATCTCTAAGCCACCAAATGCCCTGGTACGGCCAAGGGTAGGGAGAGTTAGCTCTCCCTCTCGAAATGCTCTCACATGGCCACGTGTATACAGCCACTGCCAGGGAAGTCCTATTCACTGCCTTCTCGTGGCGGAGGCATTGTTTACGAAATTGAGAGGATCAACAGCGAATGTCCGGAGCTTTAACCGGGTCGGTGGATATAGAGGATCCACCTACGGGAGTTAGAAAACCCTGATTCCAAACCAATGGTGTACATGGGCTCCAAGATCTTGAGGGAACAAATGGCATATGAACCAATTGTTGGCCACCGGCTACCATGGGACTGCACCTTGTAACGTTGCTCCACTGCCTTGTGGATCAGACCTTTAGGTCGAAGGCTGCGGGCATGGCTCCTTAAGAAAACCACCTCCTTTGGTTTGGGCATCCGGGCAGTATCTCATCCCCCACATAAATCGAATGATTTGTGTGACGCATATCTGTTTGGTGCCTCCTTGTACCAATGTTTATGTGTTTAAATAAATAAGCAAATAAAGTATAAGTCAATATCAATTCTGAACAAAAGAGAATATTAAAAATACCAGCTAACTGCTAAAGTAAGTTGTATAAAATTTCCTATGGCTGATGATACACAAACAAATATTGGCTTATGGGAATAAACATTGGATAAAGCCGGTAGATATCCTATAAACCTAACTTTATCAACAGATATCATACCTCTAGAATAAATCGTCAGCTTACTGATAATATTATTAAGTAATATATTGATACTAACTATTCAACAATGAATGATTCCAAAGCTTTAATCAATTAAAACGAAAAAAATTACCAATAGTTTTACTTTGATTTGAGCAATCGAATGCTACCACAATACAGAATAGCTTATAATCTATAAAACACTATTTAATTGTTAAATTAATTGCATCAAAAACTGGACATGGATCAAGCAATCATATAAAATAAACAAACCTCCGACAAGTTTCATCCATCCTTGTAAACTGGAATTGGACAACAACATATGCATAGCTTCTTGTTTTGCACTATCGAAGAAACTATGCTGAATCGTTCGAACAGCTGTACGTTGAGCATCACGTAGTTTTGACCGACCACTACCTAAAGCACCAGTCCCAGCGTATATTCGACTTACATGATCACCATTTTGTTGCCATAACTATGCCGTAATATAAAATATATGAAAGATTAGTAAAGACTAATTTTATGGGAGAAAAATATCCTAAATATGTGCCAGAATTTAACTATATTCCAATGAATTTAATGAGAAGATAAATCCCTTTACGAAATAAACTCACATTGAAGATCGAGTGAACAATAATAAGACAGTTACTACAAGCCTGAGAGTTACGTTTCTAATGCTTACTAAGAAATGACATGAGACCTGATTGCTACTAAAGTGTTGTTTTCAATCTAATCAACAAGCATAGTGACAAATATCATGTGTTTCAACAGCACTTGTTTTCTGAAATCCCACCAAAACGTTACTAAATATAATTATTTCTTCTAAATCCCAACCAATCGAAACTATATGGTAGACAGAGGCATAATTATCTCTCCGTTACACGATAATTTCAGATAAAAGATGCGTGGTCAAGTTGAAACGCATGACTTGATGATTGTTTATTCTCATAAATTACTTGAAAAAATTATCAGATCCATGAGGTGATTGAAGTAAGCAAGATAAAATAGATCTCATCATACTGATAACTCCAAAAACATAGTAAACTACTCTCACACCTACGTATAATTCAATATATGACAACAGTAGTAAAGTGCGTTCAACAATTTATCCATACAATTGTAACATTGAGAAAAGAACCCTGGAGTGTTAGTTATGTTTCTTAAATTAAAAAATTAACATTCATTTTTAAACCGTTATCACTTAATTCGTTTTTGACAAGGAGGATAAACAGTGGATATATATGTGCCATCGTGACGAATTTTAAACTAAATAATCACTGATTCGTGATATTTGTTGCACAATAATCCAGAATTCCACACTCCCTTAATAAGGTAATGGTTTAGTGGTTAAGACATATGACGTACAACAAATTGGTCTCAAGTTTGAACTGCATTTCGCCAACTTTGATTCTAAAAAATGAGTATTATAATTAGCATTCACAAAACCAGCGTAGTTGAAAATCGAATACATGTATTTGTACTTAGTCACATAGTTATAAAGTTTATAAAACATTAGCTGAGATAGTCCAAAAAGCGAGTTAGATATTGTCTATATACTGGTATTGTAGTGAATGATCACTTGGTGAGGAAAATCAATTTATTGTTCTATGCAAAATTACATAAAACATTTGTAAAATATGGGAATTACACATTAAATGTATCATTTGCATATCTTCCTTCAGTTGTTATTTACATACTTTGTCATTCTTTCGATCCTGCTGTTATTCTGATTGCTGTTCGTTTTCCTTCCTCTTCATTTTATTTCACTCTTATGCTGGCAGGTATTCTACTTCCAATTCCTGCTACATACTACTTATGTATGTTCGCATAAGTAGCACACACCATAATATTACATTTTTCGGCACAAGTAAAACGATGTCTTCAAAGATCAACGTTATTCTATTAGTGATAAAATATGTACAGCATTTTTAAATTGTTCAACTTGAACGAATATTTTATATCAGCATCTACAGTCTTGACCCTTAATGGACATTCAAATATTTAGCTAAAAAGTGTTTCTAACATAATAATTAACTTTTAATGAATACATATTAAAAAAGACGTTTTAATTATATCAACATAGATTTTATATTGTTTTTCTTTGAACATATTTTCATTGACGTGCATACTACATGCATACACGTTCACTTAACAAATAGAAAAGAACTACTAATAATTAAAGACCTAACAAATATTAAAATACCAAATCGGAATAGTATAACACTAACATTAATACATTTCTCTGGTTATTATTATTAGTCAGTGGAGTAATTTCATTAGGAGTGCACTCTATCGGTTCAACGAAACGAGTATCGTTCATTGAATCAATAAGCGTAGGCATATTCTTTTTAGGAGAAAAAAGTATTAACTGATGACAGTCGATCATAATCAACTCCTAAATAAACAGTATTGGCTATTTTACTAGGCTTATTTAAAATCAGTCTCAAAAAGAAAATGATTAGTTCGTGAATTTGATTTATTTGATACTTAGGTTTTGTGAATTGGTCTACCTATATTAGAGTCTATACACTTCATCCATTACTATTAGAAACAGAATTATATTTACTATATATAACAAAACAATCCTCAGAATGTATGTTTGCCAACTAATCAAATATTATATATCTTCTTGATTAAAAACTAAATACTTATTCTCAAGACTGAATAATTTATTGGTTTGAAAACACCAATGATCTATTGAATACATTGGTAAAAACAAGGATACAATAAAATTCATGAAAACAACACCAACGAATAAATTCACCTGCTTTATTCCATCAACAAAACGATTTATCACATTGTGTTGATCTTTAACATTTACACCAAGGCTCATTAACATTTTAGGAAGAATTATTTGAACACCGACAAGTGTTTCAATTGCATTTGTTCTATCTAAACAATCTACACAATTTATTCTAAGCTAGAAAAACAAAACAGATTAAACAATACAAAGAAACCTCAGTTTTCTATTTAAAAACAAAATTTATACTAAATAAGTATGTATAAAAAAATGATTAACGGAAGGAATTAAAATAACAGTAATTAAGACGATAAAATTGTGTACCATAATGAAGTTCATCATCATGAAAGACTGTAAAGTGTAAAAATAAATGAAACTACTTAGAAATTCAACTCAATATCCGTAAATAAAATATTGTTAAGACTATTATGTGTTTAAAAAAGATTTCATATTTATATTTGATACTAAGCTTCCACAAAGCCAAATGAAGTTGTAGTGCACTTCCACTATAAAAACTACCTAGTGATTATGTATGAATTTTTAAGTATTAAAGTATTGTGGACAATTTTACACTCTAGATTATTTACATTAAATAGATGGTTATTATGAAATTGTACAGAGATCGTAGAAAACAAGTGTTGTTTGGAGAAAAACGTAGATTTACTTGTTATTTTTATAACATCTTGTAAATGTAATCAATGTTTAGCAATACATTTTTATGAAGTGAATGTTGGTCTCAATTTTAATACAGTATGACAATTACCTGGTACTCAAGAAAAACTTGGAACACAGAGTAATGATGATGTTAACCAATGAGATACGTAACAAGAAGTCCACATAGTATGCTACAATTTTTACACAAGCAAGCATCCAGGAAAACATGTCACTTCTGTATTCATCATAAGTAACAATTCCTGACAATAATATGACTTGATTGCTCCCATAGTCATGTTGAACAATGTGTGTCGATAATAGTTTTAGCTTCAGTACACAGTGAAACACTAAAAACACTGAACTCTATTAAGTGATAATAATAATAATATTATTATTATTCGCAATAACTTATTATGAGGTCTCTGAAATCAAGCATAAAACAACAGTAAAGTTATCTGGAATCCTATCCAAACTTGAACTGTGTTAAGTTAGGAACACCGAATGTAGCAAGTATATATGTCCTGTGTAGTTGCCGAACTAGCTAGCAAGTTGAAACATCCGTTAAGTGATCTTAAATAAAGAAAACGAGCAAGAACTTCAAAAATTGGTCGTTTGCACGATGAGAAACGTGTAGCATTAAGACACCATACAACGAAATATACAAATACAATTTCGTATACTATGATTAGTGAACAAATACATAAACATTTTAAATTTGCAACGCTATATATTCAGTAACTTAAACAGCGACTCCATACTATCAAGTTGCTAAAAATGAAGCATACTATCGTGCTAAAACTCCACTCAATTTCAATCATGAAAAAAACCACTGGAGTAAGTGGTTAAAGCATTCAGTTTTCATTTAATGAGTTACAAGTTCGAACCCAGCTTCCTCAACTTTAGTTTGTAATGAGAAGTATCAAAAGCCTTTCCTGAAAAAAGTTATGGCCTAAAGCTTAGTACATAAACTTATGATTGAAAAATGAGTTAAAACAAATACGCGCACATTTCAGACGTTTAAATCAGTCGAATAACTGATAGACTTATTCTTATATTTATCAATAATTCAGCTAACACTATATAAGAAAGTATATTCAAATAATTCATTGAAACCATGTAACACTAATGTTCAATTTTTTATACACTATTTTCATTAGTACAAGTTATTGTAAGCGCCATTATTCCAACGATAAAAAAATTCATATATGCAAATTAGGTAGGCATATAACAATTATGTTAAATATGTTGTCTCTTTCTTTTACTGTAGACGAACTTGTTTTCTTCTATATCAGTTTGGAATGATTAACACGTAGCACATCGTTCCTGAACATCAAATACGATAAAGAATAAGGAAACATAAATTTTAAAAAAAGTTTTTGCGTCACCGGATTATAATCATTTTACTGAGCTAACCAAACTGTATTTAAATATATTTTTAGAAAAGAAAACAATTAGAACTGCGGAGCCATCAGTGAAATATTGTGAACTAACAGACTTACTGGAGTTGTAATCATTGGGTAAGAGATTGGATCGGCGTCAATCTACTAGTTCCGACATGTGGTTATTGCGTAATATTATACCTTACAAATAAACTTAGTTACTGAGTTCGATTATCATTTGAAGTACTGTTGGTAATTTAAGCTTATGTTGTCAACACTGAACAATCACTATTAAACGTGCGAATGTAAACATTACTGATAAAGACTTTATGATTGATGAAAATTCTATGTATTATGCGATTAATACAGCTAGGTCATAACAATAAATTCAATATTTTCGAAATATAAAGTCATTCTTCGCTACCAAGCAATGGTTATGCGCAAAACTCTATTAAGGTATAACTATATCGTAATCATTTTATTCAAAATATATTTTCTAAAATATCCCAATTTAGGGATTCTGTTAACTTGATAAATTTATTTTAATTGTTTTCATAAAGATGATTCAGCATGACAATGCAGCTTTATCTTGAATGACTGTTTCGTCTCTCACAAAGCATTAGTCCCATGTTAGAATCCTAAACCAATTTTTTTGAAAAGGCCTTCAGAAACCAGAAAAACACCCGAGAACACTTTGAGCAATTAGCACTTAGAAAGCTTTTATGTGAAACCTAGAAAACGACTGATTATCTTTTCTCATCCTGACTGGATAACTATCGAATTCATTACCGACTTCAGAAGCGCTTAGAACCTCAGGGTCAGACTTAAACGTATCAATGACCACTTGTTTTGCGCACATAAAAATTGACGAAATAAAACTACTTCTAAACTTCCAAACTCCATCTTTCTGTTGAGCGTTCAAGAGTAGAAGACTTATGAAGACTACGAAGCAACTAGGAAGTCGGTGCCTAAGCGTTGAAGTGGAAGGACTTATCATCCTGGTGCATCTGCCTGTAAATAAATGGAGGCAAAAATCGAGCACTATCAAATAAGACGTGCTCAATACTCGGTAGAAAACCCTTCTTCCGTAACACGGTATGAACTGAGTGATGCATAAAGTTTTATTCTAAAAAGCTCATAGCACGATGGAGAGTGAAAAAAGCCTAAACACAAATTGATCAAGATATTATTCGACGATCACAAGTAATGATCGCAATACACAACAGTTGACAGCTACTGAATGTTATCATACAGATTTATCGAAACACGTGATGGGACGTTGATTGAAACACTGTGAACAGTTTTACAAGATCACAAATTAGATCCACCTAATTACCACAAAACCTAAATATGGATGAGATGTTTGTGATAACAATTAGAAAACTGTAAAAGCTAAAAGTTTGTTTTAAACGTTGTATTATGGAAAAATTACGTATTCGAGTCGTAATATGATGACAGCTTACACATGACACTAGCGCACAGTTTGATTATGAAAAGGATCCTGGACAAGATTAAGCTGCTTAGGTTTCCATAGTTGGATTCATGCAATAATATGAGTACTCATGAGAAGTTTTTATCAGTAGATGGTGTCCGTTAGAAGGATATAACGCTACTATTCTTGTCCACAAGTTACAGATTTACTAATGAAGAATAAATATAATATTATCGATAGTAATAGATACAGTCGGATAGAAAAATAATCGAGAACTCATCTAATCCCTGTTATTAGGTTCAGCTTATAAAATTAAGTCAGAGACCCTTGATACTGAAAGGCACTTAATAGAAATTGTTATCCATGAACAATATGGTTTGTACCATCAATCAACAAAGTTCAAATTTATGTAACCGACTTGAAACTACACTTTTAAGTGAGGACTAGTGATACTAACCAGCTGTTTAGACCGAAATATGAAGAGTCGGAGTCAAACTTATGATGGTTGGTTACGTGCTCTATGTACTGCATTACTGTTCATGTAACAACCCCGATACTCACTTACATGTAAAATAACAGAGGAAAATTTTCCAAAAACAATAAAATTAATGGGTCTAAAAGTATTACAACCAGCCAAAATATTTATATTATATACAGTATTGAAAACAGAACCATGTAGAGATCATCATATAAAACAAATAACACTAAGAAAGGTAGTCCAATCTGTGTTAACTGAAACACACACAATCAGTGGAGATAAATAGTTAAATGTTCATCGGAAATTATGTTTACATTGAAAAACAATAATTCAGGTATAAAATAAAACAGGTCCGTAGACATTGGTTGGTTATGTTTTGAAATCTATATTATAGTGGTTCAATACAAAAATCGAGAAAAAAAACAATCAAATTCCAATGTACCCTAAATTAAGTATAATTTCGACAAGAACGTTTGACTTATTAACTGGAATGATACAGATGGTACAATAGTATAGCAATTTTAAATTGCTACTTCTCCAAATAAAACACAGAGACAAGACCGAGAACAGAATGATGTTTTAAGTTACGCCAGAAAGCCATAAGTACGCAAAATGTTTGAAAATCCGAACGGAAAAACCAGTTATTAATCCTAAAATTGTTTTTGGCCACAGATTTCATACTATCCCATGTGCGTCAAGCTCACTATTTTTTAATCTCCATATCAAATGCAGGGAGATAGAAAATCAGTATAATCAAGACGTAGTAACTTATAGTGTGAAGAAATCCTTACATGAAGTCGATCTATCAACAAAGGTTGGTCGGATGATTCCTGTAAAATCTAAGAACAGAAAATTACAAGTAAAGGTTTGTAATTACAGACAATATTGATAGATCCGCCCAAGATGTTCATATCCAAACAGAAACTGATCATATTTTTCAGTCAGATGATAAATTGAAGTTCTGAATATCAACAGTAGGAAAAATATAAATCCTTATTAAGAACTTTATATCCGTTGAATAAACTAGTGTCTAGATGAATTCACTACTTTAATAGATAGTGTTAGTTTTCAAGGTAACAGGCACTGAACCTAAGTTCCTAAGTAAATATAAACTATGAATCCCAGCACATCTAGGTGACGAGTCTCAGGATAATTCTGTTTTCATCGTTACTTCAGTGGGAAAGCTCAGTACATATAACATACCAGGTTACGCAACACAAAGTGTAGAGCAGAGTGATAATGGTATACGAAGAAATGAAGAGTAAAATCAAATTTAACTATATTAATTAAAATTATCTTTAGTTTGATAGGTAATACATTATATGGTTATATTATCAATTCATGCGTAAGTATACTGCATGTTCAGTCTTTTACAATTAAAAATACATTGATGTGGTGTCCCTTTAATTATGCTAACCAAACAATTTATTTGCTATTAATTTTACATTTACGTTCACACCAGTACACATAGCTATGAGTTATAGTTTATGTAACAAAGCCAGTGATACTACTTTTCTGTCTAAATATAAATAAATAGAACTGAATTTAAATCTGCACATCAGTGATTATAATTATAGTACTATTGTAGCGAACAAGAACACGAGTGGGGACAATCGAATGTATTTGACACTAAATTACAGAGCATCTCGCTAAAATCTGAGAACCATATAGTAAATAGTTTGCAAAATATCAGTCCATCGTCTTAAACTTCACTGTTCGTTTTGCAAATGTCAGTCCATTGTCTCACATTTCATTGCAAATATATTTTCATACCACCTGCGTACCGTTTCCGTTCTTTCCTTATCGATCTTCTGCTGAAATACATTCTATGTATGACCACCGTTATATACTACTTGTATGGATATAAGTAACCCACCCCACACTCGTTCCCCCTTTAAAGCATTCTTTTTTGCGGTGGTTCTGCTCACCGTACCACTTTCTTCTTCTCTGAAGTCTATGCCACACTCTCCGTCAAAATATCGGGTCTGCGGCGCGCTGACCTCCATAGCTCCGTCGACCTGCCGGGGCATCAACATCTGACGCCTGTGCTCCTGCTGAGCCATCTACATTCGATGTTCACCCAGCATCCTCACGTCCCAACGCCTGTGTGGATATAAGTAACCTACACCACACTGTGACCGTTAAGCCATTACTCCACGATTGTGTCAATCGTATGGTTAATTAAGGATGTTGTCACACAAGATCGAGCCCAAAACTTATTCCGTTAATATCTAGGAAGCAAAGATATGATTTATAAGGTTTATGCAAATAAGTCAATAATTAAAATAGAAAAAGGCTGGAATACTTACCACTCCAGTTTGACATAATTCTACCTGTTGACCATTTGCATAGAAATATCCCCAATCATCAATTAACCGACTGATCTGTTGATTTATCCATTCTAAACTTTTTGCACCTTTCGATTGTAATTCCGAATGATAATCAAATATAATATGGTGGATAGTATTCTTTTTTTCAACAATGAGGTACACCAAACAAGTGACATTGAAAAAAGAACAAATGAAAGGAATTAATGTAGAAAAAACTCTATAAACGTATATTAATTTATATGCATTATGATATGAAAATTCATCTCATTATAATCAATGCCCCGTTTTATTCATTTTTAACCACAGTGGTGCAATTAGGATGTAACGAAATATCTATGATTGATTAATGACGTGACAAAAATTTAGATTAATTAAAAAAAAGTAGATAAAAACAAGACAATCTATGGCAAAAACAGCATTAAATTTATTACTAAACAAATGATATTGATGATGGAATCAATCCACACAGAGTAGTTAGAAAAATTTAGTCCCTATATCCCTCTGTTTATATTAAAATAACCCGATAAACAAAGTGACTGATACGACTAAGGATATTGTTACAAACTGTAGTCAACAACTTCCAAATATAAATTCTCTGACGATAAAAATTGTTGGATATGTCATGTATGATTATTTATCATTATTATAATATCTGTCAATTGTTAGTCAAAACAAAAAGTGTAGATCCTTCTAGAAAAAGATTGGTAATATCATATTATTGGATAGGAGATTCTAAACAAGCTCCACGTTAAATTCGATTATCTTTGGATAATGGTCAGTAATTAAATCCAGAATGCATGTTTTCTGATATTTAGAACTGTTCAGCAGAATGTAATCTTCAAAACAGATCAAACTCAGTCTTGAATATAAACAATCCCTTACAAATAACAATCAATAACTATTTAGTTTTTTTTTACTTTAAACTGTTATTAACTCAATTTAAGCTAGTAATCAGGAAATTTCTGTATTAATCCATTCGTTATAAATAAAATATTTATAAAGAAAGTATGAATTATCATGAAACAAAACTTACTCGAAAAGACGATTTTCTATGTTGTTCCTGATAGGCTTTACTAAGCATTGCTTCGCCTTGTTTACAACCTAACAAATTAACAACACCAACTGATCCATATTGTGATATTAAATTCATAAAATGACGTTCGAATGCACTCATTGATATTTCTAATGGTCGACTAAGTGAAATTTTATGTGAACCAACTTGTAAACCTGGTTGCTCCCAAAATAATGGAACTGTACCACGAACTTGAATATAACTACTGACTGAGTCACCTAAATAGATAAACTATCCAAATATTTTTCCAAAGAAATTTGAAGAAAAAAAAACAAAGAGATATATGGTGATGAAATTATGTATGAAAAACTAATGAAGTTTGATTTAAACTTACAATCTAGGGGGGGATTTGAAAAAAATGAATAGATAACTTTTTCGTATTAACGAATGCTATTTTAACCAGTAAAACGATGTAGAAAAATGTAGATTATAAGTAAGCTAATGTTATAAATAAATTATTATATTTGTAAAATCCCAATGAGTAGAAAAATAAGATTTTCTGACGTTTCGTGACTCAGTGTGAGCCACTTCTTCAGAGAAGAAATAATAAAATTTTTACTCATTCTCTGAAGAAGTGGCTTACACGGAGTCACAAAACGTCAGAAAATTTAATTTTTCTACTCATTGGGATTTTACAAATATATTAATTTACTTATAACAATCTACCCAATGCTCAATTTATTCGAAACTATCAATTTGAACTTTGGTAATGATGACGATAAGCCAGTATGTTGTTTAAAAAGATAAAAACTCGATATCACTTTCGCCATTTACTAATTATTAATTTTAAGTTATGAAAAAAATAGACAGATTATGAACATTATAAGAAAACTAGTGACAAACGAACAACCACAACAATTCTCTGGTATTTATTTACTAACGGACGTTAATTTGAATTTTATACGAACTAGGTGGCTTGATTGTATATTCCTTACTCATTTGTTAACAAAAATTAAATTTCATTTTACCTCTTTATCGATAGTTATTATATCATTCCCTTCCTTTGTATGAATTCATTTTCAACACATAAATATTCATCAATCTTAACTAGTTTGTAAAATGATTTGTATCTGCTTCCTGTTTTATATGTATTTCTGTACTATTTCGTAAGATTTGTCATCGCTGATTAAGATGTGCAAAACTTTGTATACAATTATAATAGTTGATAAGAGGCCTCAAAATATAACGAATTCATTTTATTCTGCGAATCTTGTTCGTACTTTTGAATTTTATCAGTGGATCAAGCTAAATGAAATAAATTGTTGTTTGACTAAATTTACTTAAATATTTAAAAAGAGTAAAACAATAATAATCAGGATAACAGTAAGTTACAACCGTTTTCAACGAAACAAAAATAGAAGCTAACAGACGGATCAAGTGACATAAAGTAATATTTTACTTATCTTGTAGAAAACAAAAAATGTAGGTGCAAATGTAATATAAGAACGAGTCTGTACACGTGATATCTGAATCATCGATAATCGACTATTATCATAGTATAGACACCAACTAGACAGCCCATAGATATGCTCAAGAATCAAAGCTAATATTCACTAAATTCATGAGCTGGGACATTATGACATTTTCACATAATTTTGTTCTCATCACCATTGTACATCAAAAAGAAAACAGTAATCTAACACGAATGATATCCTAGCCATAAAGTGATAAACGTACGTTCCTTATGTATACCCCTGTCCTTAACTTCAATATTCTTCAGTTATTTGGTTATGCTCTAGTGATCACATGCACGACATTCGTACGAAGGAAATATGGAATAGTTGATATTTCTTCATAAAACTTTCTGCATAGCTACCACAATATTTCAGAAAAAAAAACGATGATAAACAAGAGATCTAGTGAAAGATGGACATGTCACATGTTCAATAAGTTATCGTATATTATTATATAACAACACCAACAGCATAACTGATATGTTAAGGGGACATTTGGCCTAATGTCATATCTAACTTTCATTAGAATCTGAGTAACCTACAAAATCAATATTTCCTGATCGCTTATATTTCAAATGATTTTAATAAAGAAATAACCCATTATTCCGATCTTATCTTTGATCTTAATTCATTCTAGAGTTTGAGTTATCCTGGTATCATAAACAGTTATCAATCGACTATGTCATCGCAACCAGTATTCTATAAATTTATTTTGACAGTCTTGCAACCGTTTATTAAATCATAATTCGTAAAAATAATAGAACAAGTCCTTGGTTAATGAAACATTTGTGTGGAGTTTCAGTGCTTATCATACGTAAAATTGATCTTGGATGGACACTGAAAAATTACCCACCTGTTCTGTTTCAACAAAATTAGCGACATCGCCACAATCATTTATCCCGCGTACATGAAAACGTGTACCAGGTCTCTGAGCTGACACTCTTGATACGACACCAACTCGAGCTTGACCAGCGCTGCAATAGACTGTACAAACCTCGAATCCACCACATATTATGGATACCAACCAATCGCTAGGATTGATTCCAGCTCGTATCAAAGGTCCCATCAACCCTTTGTTCCACAGAAAATTTAGTCCAGTATCACCCCGAGTGTATATATCACTGGAAGTCAAAATTTCATCACCCAAACGACTTCGATTTTGAATGTTAACAGTTAAATCGAATGGTTTCCCATCAATATTGGATCGGGCAAAGTAAAACATTCCCGATGACAGCAGTTTTCGGAGCTGTAAACAAAAATGATACCTAACAATTGAGAAGTTTACCAAGAAGTATAAGAACTTTCAGAAAAAATTAATAGTATCAAAGGTGGGCGAATCAGTTATTTGATGACAATTAATGTTGTAGCTAACAGTGACTTCAAGTGGTATAAAACACTAAACTATAGCTTATTAGTTGAAAACAGTGGACATCGCTGATATAGTTTGCTGATGAATACCAATAAGGACTTTTAGTAACAGGACCTCAAGCAGTTAACACGGAATAGAAATGGCTAACTAACCAAAAATAAACAGTAAAACAATTGTGGGTTGATCCATTACTGATGAAAGAACTACAGAAAACTTTATATGAAAATGAAACGCTGTTCAGTATTTAACGACGCAAACTTGATAACTGATCACCTACAGCTGCTCATTTGTTTAGTGCAACGTTACAATATGCAAATAAGTACTGAAATTTACAATATACTGTATCGAACATTGAAAAATATCAAAGACTGTTGCAAAATATAAAAGAAATTAAGTGAACACTAAATCCAAGGGTTTTTCTGAAATTTAACCGTCAATGTTTTTTAAGTACATTTAAATGAGCTGCCAAAGTTATAGGATAGTAAGGGGACCTGTTGTTTCATGTGGAAAAACGAGATCACTTTAACGGTTGCTAACATTCAATAAACCAGGATTGATATTTACGAATGATATTATGCTAGTTGTACACCAACAAGAATCCGAAATGAATTCTAGAGAATCGATTGCGTTTATACAGTAATTATCCATTGCCAAAAAGTCCATCACGTGAAATATTGGAACGTCGAAACGGAGATAGTCAGTCAGTCAGTCAGTCAGTAACAACGTAGAACTTCGTACGTACGTACATCAGTTCGAGTTGCCACACCACATTAGCACAGAGATGCAGTGCTCGATTCAAATCCCGTAGTAGTAGAGGTAATAAGAGTATAAGCAGTAATCAAGAAAATTAGGGTTTGGAGATGTTATTGAAAGAGTATAATCCAGTGACATAAATTTGGGAAGAGAAAAAAAGAGACAAGGAGGAATAAGGAGATCAAAATTTGGGAGAACACAAAGAGTGTATGCACCTGCGCCATTGCAAACGATTTTGAGCCATGTCATTCAGGGTCTCTAACCATCGGTTGCTATCATCTCGCGGTCCCCAACCAGGTAGTCTACACCTACCGACATGACTCAGACCACTTGTCAGTGACTTCATGGACTTGTGCCATGTTTTGGTCTGGCCGCCCCTAGCTTTCTTCCAACCTACTCCCTATACCACTGAACATCGCACGTCGAGGCAGTCGGTCGTTGGGCATACGTAACACGTGTCCCAGCCATCTCAACTGATGAAGTTTCACTACGTCATCAATTGATTTGCCATCCTTACCTAGTACCCGTTTCCTAACAACTGCGTTACTTACTCGATGGTCCCAGGATATACGAGCAATATTTCGAAGACACCTATGATCAAATACTAGTAACCTACGGATATCCTCTACTCTTACCGGCCATGTTTCACTGCCATAAAGTAGGACGGAACGAACTGCTGCGCAGTAAACCGTCCTTTGGTTGATAGACGGATATCTCGCCTACGCCATAAATGACGCAAGTTGGTAAAAGCTAGTCGAGCCTTCTGTATCCGTGCTGAGATTTCGTCACACACCAGACCACAAGGGCTGATGAGACTTCCAAGATAAGTGAAGCGGTCGACACGCTCAATTACTTCACTCCCTATCATTAGTTCGGGTGTCAATGCAACCCAATCCTGAAGCAACATTTTGCATTTCGAGGGGAGAATCGCATCCCGAACATGCTTGCATTGTTGCTTAGAGTGGTCAGAAGACTCTGCATTTTGTCAGCGTCTTCACCAAATAAAACTATGTCATCAGCATATTCTAAGTCAACAAGTGAACCTCCCGGTAGAAGTTCAACCCCTGGAAATTTAGATGAGGAAAGTGTTATCTCTAAAAGTACGTCAAACAAAGTTGAACAAGAATGGGAGAGTGGACAGCCCTGACGAACACCACTTGAGGTAATCAATTCTGATGACAGTTCGCCATAAGCTCTCACTCGACCAGTTGTGTTCGAGTAGAGAGCCTTTATAAGGTTAATGTACTTCTTTGGTACTCCTTTCAGTGACAAACACTGCCATAGAACCTTACGATCAACAGAGTCGAATGCCGCCTTAAGGTCGAGAAATACTACCATTGTGGGGCGTCTGAATGTGTTTCTGTGTTCTAGAACCTGACGTAGTGTGAATATCTGATCTATACAACCACGTCCAGGTCGAAAACCAGCCTGATTTTCTCTAGTCTGCTCTTCACGAGCTTTGGTTAGGCGTCGAAGTATTATTGAAGCTAATATTTTAGACACTATATTAGTCAAACTGATTCCTCTGTGATTGTCACAAGAGGACTTTTGTCCTTTCTTATAGACTGGCACAATCAGTGATTGAGACCAGTCAGATGGGATTACGTCCAGTTCCCAAATTCTACCTAAGACCTCAGTTAATCTCACTGCTAATACTGAACCACCATCCTTAAAAATCTCAGGAGTAAACCTGTCAGGGCCTGCTGCTTTCCGTCACTTCAGATTTCCTATGGCTTTTTCAACTTCGTAATGAGTCGGAGGACCTACACTAACTTGCCATTCAGGTTGACTGGAGATCGTGGGAAACCGAAGTGTGGCTGAAGGCCAGTTGAACTGATCCCTAAAGTGTTCTGCCCATCGATCCAATCTCCTGGATTGAGAATGTATAATATGTCCATCTTTCTCTGAGAGTGTTTCGCTAACAGTCGGTTTCCTTAACAAGTCGGAAGAGTTGTCTGCTATTACCTATTGCCGCTGCCTTTTCCATCTATCTTGCTTTCGCTACCCACCACTGTTCACGATCATTGCGTAGACTTCTTGTCAGCTTGCGCTTAAGCTCCGTTCTTCAAAGGGCCTTACCGCCGGAGACGGAAATCCGTGAGGTAAGGTGAGGTGTGACATTTTTAGGGCCAATCATTTCTAACCACTTCCTTCCTTGTGAGAAGGCAGCATCGCTGCAGATGCTGGTTGTCCGAGGGAAACACCTTACTGCTGTCACACCCCTCTACAGTCAGCAGTACGACTTCGCCCTCAGACCTTGAGTTGCTGCTTTTAGTCTTACCGTTCTCCAATCGACCTGCCTGGCATGGTAGAACCTACAGGAACATATGTTCCAGCCAACATAGCTCGGTAGGGTCATCACGATAGGCAAGCCCGACCACCGCGTCAAGGTAGCAGCTTCGGTCAGGCGAAACGGAGATAAACAAAGATTGCAGAAATAGAGACACTGAATAATGCATATAGTCAGCTTACTTCAAATTAAAAATCAACACACTGATAGTATATCAACACCAAACTAGTTGTGCATAGAAAACAGTAAAATGATTTCATTTAATGTCACCTAGAAATATAAATACCAAATCCAAAATCACACTAAAATTAGCAATAAACGTAGCTAGGAATATAAACCACGAATTGGGGTGGTGATTTAAATACATGCATATTTCCAATGCTTCATGTGATCACAACGGATTATTGAGTGCGTGTATGAATATTGGTGCGCAAAATACAAACAGTCTGAGAATACAAAAAATTTAAAGTTGAGAGGGTTGGAACTTTAATTCCGTCTTACTCTCAATAGAATAAAGATTACAATTAAATAACATCAAATAACATGTTTTAGAAATAAGAAATTGTGTGTACAGACGTGCGTTAATTTATATAAACAATATTACCATGATTCAAGTGTCGGTGAGACTAATTCATGGACGTTTGAGCAATGCTTAAGTGGCCCTGGGGATTTTTCACCTACTTACAAGGGTTATATGAGGTTTATAAACCAATGTGAAGAATTAAGACTAGGATTTGCAGATGGACAGTAGGGTTAGAAATTAGAGTCCAGGTTTACAACAGGAACTGACACTAGATATACTCGCAAAACGCTATCTAGCCATGTTGATGAGTAATCCAGCTCTGAATTCTAAGGCCAGATATCTTAAATCCGATTGTTTCGTCCACAAATTATAGTCTCGTTAAAAATACTCCTATAGGTATGTTTATTTTTACCACAAAAAAGGTAAATTCAAACGTAATATCAAAACTCCGATCATTTGGTTATCCAGTGCTGAAGAGAGATCATTCTCATGTTCCATTCTCTGCACACCAAAAGACACAATAGCAAAGGCAGACAAATCCAAAGCCAATTACAAAATAAATTTCACCAACTATGAAAAAATATTATATTGTACAAAGTAGGTGCCCATCTTTACTTGCGCATAAATGAACATAGATACGCAATGAGACGAAATAATGTGGTGTCAGTGATATCAGTGCATCCAGATAAACATGGACACGAATTGGATTGGAGAAGCGTAAAAAGTTAAGATTGAGGAAACTCCAAGAATGTCAGAGAAATCAAAAGACATATCGACATAGATCAAATTTACGAGCCAAAAAAGGGAGAGGTTAATCAATCATGTGGAGCAACCACACAGGTACTAAGCACCCTGGTGGACCATTCGCATCATTCATATGCACAGTCACGTCACACGTATAGTTATTCCGATCAATGATCGCGTGAATCAATTATGCAAAGCACGAACAGGTCAAAATTGACCTATTCCGCTTACACAACAGTCAAACTGATTAATGTTAGCAATGGCGACATGCCCTACAATGTCCCAATGACAATGGCCTTCGGGAACACTGAAAAGCAACCACCAGTATAAATGAAATCGGTTGACCAGAAAACCACTTTTTTGCATGAACAGTCAGCAAAACTTGCCAAAGCAATGCCGAACCATCCACAATAACAATGGCGAACCTTCAGTCTATATAGTAGCAGAAGTCAATGGTTCCTCGGTCCTATGGTTTGTATTTAAAACTCTTCAGTCTCACATCTGATTTGGAATATGGGATCCTACAACCTCGTGTTCCACATAAGCCGGTGAACGAAATCCAAGAATAGAATAAATAATAGCAGATTTCCCTCTTAATGACTACTTTGCCGCAAATAGGCAAGTGATCTTAACTTATCAGTATACGTATTGAACATCAATTTTGAAGTTACTATTTGTTGTCTATCGATTCCATTTAGAAGTGACCCTCTTGGAGGTTACCTAAAAAAAATTCGACAGAAGATAATTAACTTAGCCCCAAAAGAAAGGTGCGTTAGCCACTCGCTCAATAACTTATTTATTTTGTGGGTATAAACCAGAAATTCAATATAGGCAATCCTAAAAGGAATGATAATGATAAAAGCGACAACACATAATGCTCAAAAAGTAAGTCGAACGAATTCGATTAGCGATTTTATGCTGATAAGACAGCAAGTTATATCTCAGAGCCTGAACTTGTACATCCCTAAAAATATTTACTATAACACGGAAAAATAGCATCCAGTTGGATAGATTTCCCTACAAAAAACGTCTCAACCAAAAATACTGAAACTAACATCAGGGTAGATGTCTTCTTCAACTCCTTGACACTTCAGATTGATGAATTGCACGTTGGTGATGCGAAAAACCTCAAAGAGCGGCAACTTGCCCACAGAAGTACATCCAGTAACTAATACAATATAAGACTGTGGCGCCATAATGCTCGAGTCTGAAGTAGGTGATATCATAGGAACTAATACGCCCAGGCATGCATATGCGTCAACAGCTTTCGTATACTGGCACTTTCGAAAGTCGAATTCATAAGTACTGATATGTGCGATAGCCCCTGAATCAAATAATAAAGCACCTCTCACAAATCGATTTTCCAATATAACATTGTACTGTTGAGGTGACTGTCCTATATCCGAGTTTGCACTCTTTAGTAAAACACGACAGTTTTTAAGAAATGACATTTTTGAGGGCCGATGACCTTGAGGAACAAACAAAACACCCGCCACAAAATGCTCAGGGTCAGGCGACAACCTTGAGGCTGCAAATTAACTCTACAAACTTGTGGCGAGAAAAATGAATGTCGAAAATTGATAAAATGAGTATTCAGTCATCATCAGCGAGGAGACTGAACTACTTGCGCGAAATTAGAATATAAAGTATGACGAGCTTTAAAGATCCAAGAACATGCCATTGTTACCCAAAATTTGAAAATGCCAACTAAATCAGAAGTAAACAAACATGCGACACAAACATATAACTGATCCAAAAGTTCATAAAACTCATCCTACGTGACATAAGCCGACGAGTTATCGTAAGCGATGCGCAGTACATCTTTTCCAAACGTGATCTGGTAAGGACGGTTGACCGAGTTCTCTCAGAAGTGTGTTCAGTGTGAATAATAATAACAAGTAATTCTTAGTTTGTTACGTTCCAATCCGTTTTGAACTATGAACTATCCTGTATTATCCTTTCTTTAGACCACTTCCTGCCTAATTCCCAATTTTCGAGTTCCATTGCTAAACCACTAAGTCCCTACTCCAAGAAATTACGGTGACTTTATTCTATCAGTTTTCTGCAATCATAAGGTCACTTTAGATGGTTCATACAATGACAGCCACTCAATTATCTAGAATCATTCGTTTGTCCTGACTCGAGTGAGTGACAAAATGGTCAACAGCCTCAAACACTCTGGGATCGGTTTCCTTACTTCGTGTTTATTCTCGATGCTTTTGGACCATTACTAGTCACTAATGGCCTTATATATGTCGTCTACTGAAGCTCATTTACAAAAATAATCCAGGCTAGTTTAACTACTTTACTGGATGATTTTTCGTACTTAACATATATATTTTTCCCAGTTGCTTTCGCCACATATTTGTAAATTTCACTAGGCTAAATGCAGGAACTTTTTATGGAAAGTTTATAACACGTTATATTCCTTCCTGAAGTTCAATAAGCAGTCTTAATTTTAGAATTATTTTTCTGGATGTTTATTATTTTTGAATTGTCATATACCTCAACAACCTTCATGTTAACCTGGCCCGTATACGCATTGCATTATTTCTCCATGTCTTTTAAACTTAAAAGTCATTTGAATAGCCTTTAACATTTTTAAATGCACCCATCATAGTCATTATTGCTAAATGTATTCGGGTTTATAAATTGGTCTTTCATATTAATTGCTTAAAAAGACGAATATAATCACCAAATAAGGGTATTATCATATTGCACTAGTTTAATAACTATCAGGTAATTGCTGGTCAAATAAACATAAAAAATCTAAACTCCCGCGCCTACTAATAAAATTAACACTATGTAAACAAATAATTTTAAATTGAAATTTGCAATATAATCAGGCAGCTCGGATTCGTTAACGCTAGGTATTTTCGATAATTTAAAATCACCTAAAGTAACAATACCTGTTTTCCACTGGCTAATTCCCAACCAAACGTTAACCACTTAAACATAATTGTTTGAGGATATCGTCTTACAGCGTTGTCATGACTTGACGATCACGTAATATGATTAATAAAATTGATAAAACTATTAAGAAAATCCGTCAACAAAATGACTTGAAATCATCATTAAAGTGTTGTTTTCTCGTTATCTTCGTTCACTGTAAATGATTACAGTGTGTTTCTCTATCGGTCGCTCATTTACCGAATATCTTGAAACTTTGTCAGTCTTATTGGGGGTTTAGCGACATAATCATGCATGCAAGTCATCTGTATAAGAGTCGAGCAAATCTGCTGCAAACTGAAAACATCAATGTCGAATTTACCCCAACACTGACTAAGGTTCAAGCCATTATCATAGACATGAGTTGGGAGTGTAATCCCCTTGGTTACAACTTATGTTCTCCCTGACAATCACATGAACATCACTCACTGTTAATTATCTTGTAAAAACTCATTTACACGGATACATCTTGCAGCACCACATCACCTAGTAATGTGGCACATAGGCTTAACTGACTTCAATAACTTATAATCACTATATTTCAATGAAATCGTATTCCGCCCTATGTTAAACTGCATACTTGCAACTAACTTGTATGCACCACCAGCCGGCAGGTATAAATATAAATAAATGGTCTATGGCAACGTAGAACATTGAGTCTAGTGCATGTCTTTTACGAATACACTCATGTTTAACGATCTGTTCCTAGCTATCTGTCCAAAATTCGCACAATTATCACTCACGTATTTAAATTTTGTTTTGATAACCACTCATGTGTATTAGTAGCACTACTAAATTTCTACCGCCGTCAAGTAGAAATGAGGTCGAGAGAATCTCCTCGTAACTAAATAAACCGTATCAAACCAACTGGAACACTAATTGTAATTATTCTCCACGTTAATGCTTTTGTTCTTTCAGTTAGCCTACTATAACGGATGCAATTGGAAATCAACATATATGGACAGGTTACCAGCATAATCGTTATTTGATTTCATAGTTTAAACCAAAACTAATACCATTATTAACATTTCTACAATATTGGTTGCTTTTAATATTTTAAAACACAAAATACTTACTACCTATAAGTTAAGTTATTAACCAAAAGCTACTACTACGCATTTTACAGTGACTTATTAAAGTATCCCTATGTGGAATCATTTTATTATAATAATCCCACTTTGCTTAGCTCAAATAATCTTCACCTAAATTTCATTTTAAGCGTGTCAAGCATGAAGGCAGATATCTTGAAATTATTACATGTATTCCCCGATCAATTGCTGCCGCCCTTCTTTTTGATTTATCTTTCAGTTCATCAATACCCGGAGAATTCTTATTATTCTCGGTAACCTCCGGTGCGCGACAATCCCGCTCAGTTTGGTATCGAACCAACATCATGTTGATTCTAATGGGAGAGTAGTGTAGTGGCATGGAGCACTAACCACACAATCCTCATGGCTGAACACGAAAGAATTGTGAAAATAGACATTCAACGTTTGGCGCGCAAAAAAACCCAACGATGAAGAAGGAATTGAACTAATTCGAATTGATCGGATGGCATGGCTAGGTCTTGCAGGCGTGGTCTTATGTAACATTATTTTTATCCATATTAAATAAACTATTTTATCTCTAATTTAGGTGTGCTCTCCACCATATATAGATGATTGTTACAGTGCAGTGAATCAGGGTAGACAATGATGTGACTTCCACGTAAGATCTTATAGATTAGGCAGTTACATCATAACAAATCTACAATTTTAGGATTAGGTCTATTATCAGAGCAGTACTGATAACGAAGAAGGCCATAATTTTACGGAGTTACTAATATAATCACTCATACTGTGTCGAAGGAGCTTTGTATCTTGGAGTGTTATTCTAAGTCCACCACACTAAGATATATTGAAATTTCACTCACCGCGGTAACAGCATTACAGCTGATTCTACAGATGTATAAAACCAATATTTGAGACGCAAATGTGGCTATATAAGGATTATATCTTAATTTTACAAAAGCCAATAATTTATCTTAGATAAAAAGCAGAAGTCCGGTAGAATCTAAATAATCGCCACAAAGCTTTTCATAAGTAAAGAAGCGACTAGTAGTGTCTAACAGGTAAGAGTTTGTTTCGACACTCAGTCAGTATTACGGCATGGCTACTTGAAAACGTCGAAGGAAATGAACCCTGACAACCCGTTTGCAAAACAAATTCACAATGTAGGATTCTTTTTTGTAAGTTGCTCACATCTCAACAATTTGCCGATTTCGTTTTTCATCCTTCTCAAATGTTTGACCATGTGTTTTGGTGAAAACTGTCTTTAGTACGTTTTGGTATCGGACAATGGAGTTGACAAGAGCCCTTCAGACAGACATACCTTCATTTCAGCTTTGGTGCTCAAGTAGGGACTCAGACTAGGGCTGATAGTTTCATACTCTGCCCAGAGATCCTATGAAAAACTTAGTTCAGCGACCTAAATAATAACTACCATAAATGTCAGCAGACGAAAAACAACTTCCAACTAGTGAAAGCAAAATTATTTTAGGATGAATTCGTTTATTTTTGGAGTCAGAAACTCAGCGAACTGTTTGACGTCGCCACAAGAATTGAATATAGGATTCAAGCCATTTTTTGAACATCAATTCCCTTAGAGTCTTCTAAAAGAACGAGATGTGAATCAATGATTATTTGCTGACTATAAGTCAAAAACATAATGACGATAGAATAAAAAAAGTACAAATCATCTAATTCCAAATCTTCTGTCCAGCTTAAGAAAACAACTTGCTTTTCACTCATTCGGACTTTTTTGCAAAACAAATAATCGACTGCATCGTAAATCCACTTCTTATACGAGCCGCTCCTCACAATTGATCAGCTCACAACGTATGCCATCTGTTTTAAAATCTAAGTGTCTATTTTATAGAATCCAATCAACTGTTACATGTATCACATAAACCGAAATATCTTTCTGACGCCAAGATCGCAGACGTCATTAACTGCTGTAGTCTCTTTTGGTCTAAGACTGACGTTTGTCGTATGACTTTGGATTTAAGTTTGTAATTTGGTTCATCCTCCGGTACTTGGTGGATGAAGTTTCTATCCACAGCTGGAGTTTCTTTAGGCAGTGCGCCCAATAAATGTCCATAATTGGCCGTCTGTGGATGTATTTTACGAGCAAACATTATAGCTTCTACTTGAGCGAACCGAATTCCAGGTTTATTTTCACGATATGGAGTTACGTTTCAATCAGCTATTGTACTAATGGTTGTTATGGTAGGTTCAGAGAGTTTGGAGACATCAAGGCAATATTTTACAGTGATTTTCTTTATGTCCATGTCTTCAATTAGGTACATTATATGTAGAGATAACAGTGGTAGTTGTTGTACCACAGTAGTAAATGAACAAAAATACACTGAACACGTTATTTAATTTATAGGAATGAATAAAGCAAACAATGGCTAAACAAATAATTCTGGTGGACCAATAAAAATATGAAAATAACTAGAATCAGTTAATACTACGAAACTTATAAAAAGAATAATAATTTAATAGAACACAGCAACAAATATATACAAAACGTATGGGTCAATTATTCTGTCAGAAACGTGCGTCTTCAACGGTCCAAATATATATCCACAATTGTGACTGTGTAGAATTATGATCATGTCCGGTATTAGAATCTTCGCCTTAGTTGAGATATTGATAAAACCAACGCCAAAACTGTAGATTCGTCGTGATGTGACAACTTATCTATAATATCTAGCGCTAGAGTTACATAATTCCCTACACTGACTTTTCCCATGGCGAAAATCAGCAACATGATGTCCAGCCTTCATGTAGAGCACGTTTGAACTAGGATGTGAGTGGCATATTGAGTACAAAAAGCATGAGGTTATAATAACCACGCCTGCATGACCGGGCCATGCAATTTCGAATGGTTATTGCCATATTCACCATTGTTGACCTTCTGTAAGTGAAATTTTTAAATGTAAATCTTTTCAGTAATTACATGAATGGCGTTGAAGATCATGTGGTTAGGAAGCACAGCCATTACAAATTCAGAAGAGTGATTTAAGGAATGCCGGGTATCGATCGAAAGTGTTCGTGTGTAGTTGACAGGCAACATTCCAAATCATGTGAGCTGCAACATGTACAATGGGATTATAAATAAACAAATAACGAATGACACGCAAGGAAGACAGAACAAGGTTGCGGTGGACTAAAACATATCAATTCCAAAAAACGGCGAAGTTCTTACGAAATATTGTCAATGTGTTAATATACCAAATATAGATCATACACATAAAAACTATACTAGACGTTACTTCAGTTGTTAGTAATAGTCGTGTTCGAGTTTCTTTTGGTTTCGTTATCCACAATTATAAGTGGTCAGTAATTCTAACTTTCACTGATATGATTCGAGATGTCTATTGTGTTGAGGATATCACTGTGATCTGTAAAGATAGACAGCAAATATATCGGAGTTCTGTTGCCGAAACAGTAGATAATTGCGAACAAGAAGCATTACTGTACTCATGAGCGATAATCAGTATGTCATGCAATGGGGTCTTCAAAAACGGAATGAAAGATCAAAGATCCTGTTTTAAATAAGCTAAAAATGTCGATGGTATTTGGAGTTTGACGACGCCTTTAAATTTAATGCCTTCATAACCGAAGTATGCCAACCCAGTCAAATCGGGAATCAAAAATGAAGAGATTCGAAGATACGTCTGAAAGGCTACCGATATATCGGGAAGTGTCTGATATAAGCTGACTAACGGTCATTAGCGACGCAGACAAAGGTGTATCCACCCATGATCCTGTACGGATGCGTGACCAAGCGCATTCAGCAAGGTGACTCCAGTAAAACTAACGTGGTCAGCATCGAATGTCGAGGAATTACAGAACTTTGAGATGGTGGAGAAGATTTGTAGCCCAGGTGGATAATTTTGTTGGAGTTTTGTTCTGTGAGCTGGATGGTTTGGTCTTGGAGCTTTCATCGTTCTTCTGAATGACATCATCAGCACAAACTTCAGGCACAATTTATTTTTTTGAATGAATAAATAAATAAGTTGTGCCAAGTGCAAAAAACACTACATCGGACAAAGCGGACGCCCCCTTCACCTTCGCCTACACGAACAACAATTAGCAGTCAAACGCCACGATGTCTCCTCGCTTATATCAATACACGTGGACAACTGCGGACACTCATTCGATTGGAAAAATGTGGAAATCTTAGACAGAAGAAACTCCAAAAACACCAAAGAATTTTTAGAGGCCTGGCACTCAGGTCAGTCAGCAATCAACAAGCATATTGAAATCAACCCAATTTACCAAACAATCAGAAAAATCATGCACAAATATAGGAACAAAAATCAAACCAATGGGAGACACAACCAAAACAAATAAACAATGACAAATTTAAGGTCACTAAGAACCAATCAACATCAAGGTGCACAGAACAAGCTTTGAAACACATATGGAGAAATTCGAACACTTCACTTCTATCTGAAGTTTGTGCTGATGATGCCGTTCAGAAGAACGATGAAAGCTCCACGAACAAACGATCCAACTCAGAGAACAAAACTCCACCAGATTTACATAACTATTTATTTGGGGATTTGTCGCTGCATAAAAATTTACAGTCAATAATGGTAGTTGTACAAATCATGAGAAATAATAAAAAAATACAAAACCCAATTACAAAAGTTTATTTCAACTATTCCCTCAAGGTATTTATGTGAGCAGGTATAGTTAGTGACCTGTAATTATTAAAACATGTGAACAGTAAACATGAATGATGAAAATCAACTTTATAAATTATTTAAGCAATGCAGTGTTTGTACAGGTTGAACGGAGTAATTAAGACCTATAAATAATCACAAAAATTAATAACAAAGTCTAATGGTAGATGAACTAAGTCCCGATATAATTGTTGTTGCAGAAACTTGGTTCACCATAGATATAGAATGTTCTCACATCATTGCAGGCCATATCTGTATTGGAAGTGTTAGAGTTTTAAGTCGCAAGGAGGGAGGCATAATGTTATACGTCCACGGCTGCGGTCATCTCTTGCGGACATCATTTCAAAACCGCTCGCGACAATCTACAACATGTCCATTTCACTCGCTCAACTCCCTGGAGATTGGAAATACGCTATAGTCAGTCCTATATTTAAGGATGGTCAGAAACAGATCGTATCTAACTACCAGCCTGTCAGTCTAACCAGCATTGTCGTCAAGTTGATTGAAAAGATAGTTCGGGTTAGGTTGCTAAGCCTCATAGATTCACACAATCTGTTAGCTACTGAGCAACATAGATTTCGTAACAAGCGTTCGTGCTTGACCAACTTACTCAATGCGAGAGAGGATTAGATAGCAGCCTTAGATAAAGGTCTGTCTGTCGATATGATGTTCATAGATTTTAGCAAAGCGTTTGACAAGGTTTCACACGTAGGTCTTATGCAGAAGCTCACGAGCTTCGGAATAATAGGTACTGTACATGAGTGGATAGGAAATTTCTTATGTGACCGCAGACAGAGAGTGAAGGTCAAAGAAACGCTGTCCGATAGGAAGCCGATCAAAAGTGGTGTACCCCAGGGCACCATCTTAGGCCCTCTGCTCTTCCTTCTCTACGTTAATGAGTTACCGCCGTTACTTAGATCGTCGACATTATTGTTTGCGGATGATGTAAAAATCGGGAGAACAATAAAAAGTGCGGCTGATCATCAGGATTTTCAAGCTGACTTAGACGATTTAGTTAGAGGAACTCGAGAGTGGGGCTCAGAAATCAATGCTAGGAAGAGTGTGTTAATGCACATTGGTCACGGTAATAGTTACCATTATACTACTGATTGTATACCTCTTCCATGCGTTCAAGAGCATAAAGACTTAGGAGTAATAATGAGTCATGACTGAAAAACAAATACGTATTGCATCGCAGCCGCTGTCAAAGGTTTTCGTGCGTCATGGTCACTTCACCGAGCGTTCAAATCTTTTGACGAGGATATGTTTCGAATTTTATATCCCACCTATGTAAGACCACATTTAGAGTACTGTATCTATGCGGCTAGCCCATGTCTGGCAAGGGATACTAACTCACTTGAGCGTGTTCAGCGTGTGGGAACGAAAGTAATGAAGGGTCTTTCTAAACTCCCTTATGGTGAGCGTTTAAAGCACTTTTTCCCCTTGTCATATCGTAGGACGCGGGGTGACCTTATACTGGCATTTCGTATCTTTCACTATGATTTGGGTGTTAATATGTCTTATCTTTTCGCTCCCTCCAGCACTAATAATCTCCATGATCATAACAAGAAGGTTCACAAACCGTGATTTAATAAACTTAAAGTGGGGTCCCGTTTTTCTCATCCAATAGTCAATGACTGGAACGCCTTACCTAAAAAAGTGGTATCGGCCCCATCAGTGAATATTTTCAAAGACAAGCTGGACCTTCACTGGAAGGCAATCTGTCAGGATTAACGCAGGTTAAACAACCTACTATCCTTATTACTGAAGGCCGAAATTGGGTTTGTTTCAACCACCGCATATAATTCAAGAGCAGAAATTCCATTGCGAGAGATGTAATGTAGATGAGAGATTCTCTTGAAACACTTATTAGGTTGATTCAACACTGAGCTACTACATTTCATCACTATTTATAAGACGTAGAGTACTATATCCTATGTTTTTATAATTACCGAAAATATCACTCTGAATTTTCAGAACCACTGTTCAGTTGTTGTTTCTTGGTATACATCTACAACCCCAATAAGAAGAACTGGTGATTTATTGCTACATGGCACGGAAGTCAGTCGGACGCAAATCTCTATTCAGTTTATAAATGTTTGAAATTATATTAATTTGAGCATTATTTTTGGCGGGAGCAAAGTCTGTGTCGTTACACTTCACTTTATTAGACAGGGGATGTAGTGTACTGCTGAACACTATTAATAAAAAGTAATCACTCGAGCTATTGTTGACGCCCTTTTAATTTTGGTTTAATTGCGTAAGATACGAAGTTTCATCATACTGTGAAAGCCATGACGTCCAACTACGTTCATGGTGGTGCAGGAATCCAGAACAGTATGCTTTCGTACACTTTGAAAAATCTGTCACTCGGGTCCAATCAACTTACTCAGGTAAACGCGAATAAATGACACTTTACCGTTATTTCTCGAACATGTCCTCGTGACAGATGAATGATCCAACTAACTCGATGTGTATGACTCCACCGGCTACACAAATGAATTTTCTTCGTCCTATTCCTGGTGCATCTAGTGAGACTGTCTTCCCAAGCACACATCGTCCAGCTTCTGGCCGCACGTTGGGGATAGCGGATTTCCTTTCGCTGAATACCACTTCCACTAACAGACCCTCTGTGTTGTCTACTGTATCTATTTCGAAAGCATCACCCGCCCCACAAAATGGACAGTCGACGAGAGCTCCTGAAAGGGTGGCTTTAACATCAAAAGCGGTAGTCCCGGGAAACCATGGATTTGCCAGCATGTTCCGTCCCCGAGTAAGTTAATGCATCAACTATTATCACGTAAGTCTTTTTTAACTCAATCAAAAACCATACAGAATGAAATCGTTTTATTTCGCGAAGTTACCAGCTACTTAGCACCTATGATGCTTTTAAACCAGGTTTCCAGATAGAGGCCAATATATTAATACGAATGTAGTTAAAATTTAGTGTGAAGATTAAAGGTTTAATTATAATCAATTAGATTGTTTCACTATAATGAAATATATTCACATCCACTTCTAACTGAACTGTTTGTATAAGTAGAGTGATCCCCATATGTAATTCTGATTGTAATACTTCAGTCGTAAACGGCCAACATGAACCTAGTGGATCAAAAAGAATTTACTTTGTTCTATTCAACTCAGTTCTTGTTCTCTTCATCCTGATAAAGAATGCTATGTGTAAGGAATATTCATTATCTATCGCTTCTCTAGGTGTTCATACTGTCCTGAAAAAGTTACAGCAGCAGGATGCTATATTAACCTTATTTCGTAACTTATGAACTTCGCTCGAATTATTAGTGTTTTCCATTTCGTTAATCTGTTGTGCTTGTTAGGATAATCATTTTAGGTAGATACAAGTAAAAAGCACATATTGTGGTGTGCTTTTCCCCGATATATCTATGTCAGCAATGTTTTACTTGAGCATAACGTCGGGGATACTCAACTCTGCCAAGTGGCTGACAGATTTTGTCCGTCCGCTTTTTCTTTCAAAGCGTTAACTGATACTAACAATGCGAATCGCACGGCTAGCATGTTAAGATAGTATTTGAGCGCCTACAGTCGATTGTAATGGTGATTATCCTCATATTCACTTAACTGAATTTTTCTCACACAAGGCCTAAATCGACATACGAATGTTAGTTTAATGAGTATGTGTCACGACTTCAACAGCTTAATTCAAGTTGTGCATATCCTTCGCACCATTCCCTTTGGAGATGAACACAAATATCCTTCCGATTTATTTTTATGAGCATCATAAATCTTTTATCTGATTTTGGTAATCGAACTGCTTGTCCCGAAGAAACTAACATAAACCTTACGGCTACTAGTCTGTTATTGAAGCCTCTGTGCTGTGCACCTAATGAATTCTTACACAAACTGATTGTATGTCATTGTAACCAAGACTGTACCATTTGGCTTGATTGTTTGAGATACTTCGTTTCTTATTAAGATCTCGGGACAACTACATCATATATCTGATTTTAAGCGTTTCGATGGCTTTTCGTTAAGTCTAGATTGGTTGCAGATTCTGTAACTCGTATAGAAAACCAAGTGAAGAAAGTGGTCATATAATAGCATCAGAATAGTTTACTTACTTGATGTGATCATGATAAATCTTAGTAATGTTAATATTCATTGGCTTGAAGCTATATTCCTAGTCCAAAATGCTTACTAAGAGCCATTCACTGTATTTAAATAAGCAATTGGGCGTGATCAAATGATAACGCAACATATGATGGTTGAAAGATAGTGTATTTATGAGAATTATACGGCATTCAGACAAGACTCCTGTAATTTAGAGACATTTCGCCTAAGTACGTCAAAGTTAAAGAACTTCAAAATTAGGAATGATTTTAGTTTTGGTTGAAAGTCTACTAATGGTTTAAGGTCAAATACCATACGGTTATTGCTAATAGCTTCAACAATACCTTTCTAAGGTAGATACTATTCTCATAAAGTGTACTAATTCAGGTTTTCGCGTCTTTTTCTAGGGTCCTGGTGTTTCTTCTTCCCGTGTCCTTTCCAACTTACCAGATAGCCGGCAGATCCCCTCAAACTCTGAGATTTGTTCATCCTTCTTCTCTAATCGATTCGGCGGCACAGCCAACGACAGTCTTACAACGGATAGAATAAATCATCCAACCGTCACTCACTCTAACTCACCTACATCTGCATTTGACAATATGTTGACCTCTCCACATTCGTTTGAAAATTTTCTACCACCGAATTTAAGACAGCTAACACAGTCTGGACAATCTCATATACAAAATTCATCAGGTTCCTCACTAAACTCCTGTCAATCTGACGCTCCATTGCCTCCCGAAATGCGACCTGACACTCACCTCACCCCTTTCAGTGACTCCCAGTGTGTTCTTCCCATTACTGCCTCTCAATTCTATTCCAGTCATCATTTTGAAAATACTAAAAAACTCCAGGCCTCTGGTAGCCTTAAAGTCGCTCCTTGGATTCTTGTCCCACCAGTTCCTGAGGGCACTGCAGCTCATATGAGAACAGGAAGAGTTCATGAAGCTAAGCCAAACTTGTTCAACAACCCTGCATTTGGTCCCATCATAATTGATGATGACTTCAAGCACGTAAGTTACTACTACAGTTCTTCAATCCATTTCTTTTCTGGGACCTTTCAATATCAAACTCACAAGTTTTATTTTTTATTTCAGGCACTGCACAGTAAACTTCAAGCTTGCTTGTTCATGGCTGATGAGTCTATAAAGGAAAGTAAGTGATGTCGACTGGTAATAAAGTTTTGTAGAAATGGATGGATTATAATAGTTTAGTGAAATAAGATTGCACAAGACTTTTCAAAATATAAGATTGCGTCAGTACTGCCATTTGTTAGAGGTTTGCTAATCAAGAGCAAAAACCAGAATCCTTTTGTTTATTCACAGAAGTAGGTTGCATATTTACATTCTTCATACTCATGCTAATCACGTCAGTACTCCAGTGTACCGTTAGCCATCTAGAACAGTACTTTGCTCAAGCCTGTTGTCCCTTTTTAGGGCATAGACAACCAACCAGGCTTCTCTAGTCAACTTTGTCCTGGGTCCTCCTCCACAGTTGTCAGGTGCTATTTATGATCCTGGTTTCTCCTTCCGATTTCACGCACTGTGTTCTCCTATCTGTCTCCTTTCCTTTTGCAGTAAGGATTCCCAGTTAGGGCTTGCCTTACAATGCGATTCAATGATTTCCGTAAAATGTATCCTGTCCACCTCCAATATCTTTTCCTAATTCTCTCCTCAACTGGAAAATGGTCTGTTTTCTACCAGAGTATGTTATTGCTGGTGGTCTCTGGACAGTGAGCTTGGAGTATCTTGCGTAGATACCTGTTCATAAATACTCTCATTCTTTCGATGGCTGTTGTAGTAGTTCTCCAAGTTTCAGCTTTGTGCAAGAAAACTGCTCTAATGTTAGTGGTGAAAATTTCTACTTTAGTTCTGGTTGGTGGATCTTTGAGTTCCAAATAAATGTAACTAGGGGATTTAAAATTTTATTCTTGAATAATAAAGTACGGACAACTACGGTTTTTGATTACGTAAACTAAAATCATACAGAGGCTTGGCCTTCTGGTAATTGATATCCTTGTCCATTGAGATACGATTGTGTTTAGACGAGTATTTGGTAAAGATCTTGATGCATGCACTGCTCTGGCGATGTTAGAAACTCGTATTTCAAAACCATTCCTAGCGATCCCATTACTAGAAATATGTTACCGTAGCCTAGGTACCAACCACTTTTAACTTCAGTTCATTTTAAGTTCTTGTGTGTTATCATATATCAGAAGTTTGCTTCTGGAGACAGTACAAAGTTTAAGACCCCCAAATGCCCTGGTATGGCCGAGAGTGGGGTGGGTTCGCCCTCCCTCTCGAAATGCTCTCACATGGCCACGCGTATACAGTCTCTGTCAGGGAAGTCCTACTCATTGCCTTCTCGTGGCGGGGGTGTTGTTTACGAAAATGAGAGGACGAAAAGCGAACGTCCGGCGCTTTAACCGGATCCCAAACCAATGGTGCACATGGGCTCCAGTATCCTGCGGGAACAAATGGCGTATGAACCAATCGCTGGTCACCGGCTACCATGGGTATGCATCTCCTCACGATGTCCCACTGCCTTTTGGGTCAGACCTTTAGGTCAAAGGCTCGGGGAGTGGCCCCCTAAGATAACCACCTGCTTCGGTCTGGGCACCCGAGCAGTATCACAGCCCACACACACAAATATGGTGTGGCGCATGTATATTTGGTGCCCTCTTGTACCGATATTTATGTGTTGAAATAATAATAATAACATAGTTTAAGATACCTTAAATTAGGTCCGTAGACTAATATTATCTTATTAGTTGTGATACTATGAATCTCACCCCACTTCTCGCCTATACTCTTAAAGTCCATCTGTTATTTTACCTGAAATATTCCCAATCAGAGTGAAATACATTTTCGATCCTCATCATTTTCGCTTCACATGAAACTATAGTCAGTGCAGTTGTCAATATTTTATAACTCAACAGCTAGTTACTACTTTATTATCTCTTTTTCGACCTTTCATGTAAAAACCAGCGATTGGCCCAATAACTATTGCGTGTAAATTATGTCTAATGCACTAACTAGGTTTATTTATTCAAGAACCTGGCTTGTTGTTTGTTTAATGTACCCTTACATATTCTTCGAAACCACTGGTAAGCAAAAGCTGAAATCTCATGAGTTACAAAGGAAAAATGAAAGGAAAGTTTTGTATAAAAAACAAAAACAAATTAAAGACAATTGAAATTTTCTCGTTATTTTAAACGACTTAATTTATCTTATGAATATCAAGGTATAAATCTAATACGTAGTGATGGGTAATTTAGCAGAGGGTGTTTACTACCATTGTACATAATTCAGCCGTAATGGAGTAGACCACGTAATATTCAGCAATATTATATCATCTAATTTTTGTACGAAAAGAGAGCTATTTGTTCTCAGTTAACTTTTACTACATATGCTAATTCACTTTTGTCCTAACTTTCTATCCCCACAGAATTACCTCGTAACCTGGGAGCTTACACTGATCTCGTTCCTCTAGAAATTTTAGATCAACCAAGAGTATCAGTTACATTTGGCCTTCCTGGAGTCTGTTTTAAAGCATGGTCTCCTCGATTTAGTCGATATATGCTTCTTCGACGCATAATTTTACCACCTGATCATGAAGCAGCTCTATCATCTGATGCTTTTTATTTAGCTAAACAACTATCTGATTTAAATCATTCTGCTATTGTTGGATTTCGGGATGTATTTTTCACTGATGCATTTGCTGATAACTGTAAGTTTACTTCAAACAACTACATATTACTATAATAATATTTATGTACATTGTATGTTAAAACTAATGAATAAATAATTCCCAATACAAATATTGAACTCTGAGGTTTGTATTTAAAAGATTTTTAAGGAGAGATAAATGGTAGCTGTAAGTAGAATCCAGGACGCATGTTTCGCCCTATCCGGGACTTAGCTGCATGCACCTGCATCCCGGAATTGATGCTCACTCCAGGACTCCGGGGTGCAGGTACATGTAGCCAACGAGTTCCAGATAGGACGAAACACGGGTCTTGAATTCCACTGATAGTCACCATTCGTTTCTGCTTAGAAATGCTTGTGACTTAGTGGCAATATCGAGGCATCCACACAGAATGCACATATGCCAAAAAAACTGATCAGTTTCAGTCTTAAGCATCGATGGAGAGAATAAAACACCCAAGACATAAATTAACAAGACTGCTTAGATAAGTGATCATATAATTTGTGACTAATAATATATTCTATGACATGTGAAAGCTGTGGAGCAGTTTCTCAACGGTTCAACACTTAAATTTCATTGAAATCATGAACCGATCTAAGTTAGACCATCATTGAAAATCTGGAAAACCTGGGTCCTCAAATGCCCTGGTACGGCCAAGGGTAGGGAGAGTTAGCTCTCCCTCTCGAAATGCTCTCACATGGCCACGTGTATACAGCCACTGCCAGGGAAGTCCTATTCACTGCCTTCTCGTGGCGGAGGCATTGTTTACGAAATTGAGAGGATCAAAAGCGAATGTCCGGAGCTTTAACCGGGTCGGTGGATATAGAGGATCCACCTACGGGAGTTAGAAAACCCTAATTCCAATTTAATGGTATACATGGGCTCCAAGACCCTGAGGGAACAAATGGCGTATGAGCCAATTATTGGTTACCGGTTACCATGTGACTGCATGTCCTGACATCGCTTCACTGCCTTGTGGATCAGACCTTTAGGCCGAAGGCTGCGGGCGTGGCTCCCTAAGAAAACCACCTCCTTTGGTTTGGGCACCTAGGCATTATCACAGCCCACACTCAAATCAAGTGACCTGTTTGATGCATATGTATTCGGTGCCCCTTTGTACCAATATTTATGTGTTCAAGTAAATAAATATATAAATAAATGGAAGAACTGGACGACCATTTCTTTGTAGTATGAGACTTAATTTTCAAATAACAGATTACAGATTTCTGTTTGTGAGCAGTTGATAATATTTCTGATCCCCACATAAGAAACGTAATTCACAGCCTAGTACACAGACGGGTCCACTTATATATTTGCTAGTTTATACTAACGTTCTATTAACTATAAAGAGGTGTTTCATCACATTGTCACAGTTGTAACCTAGAGGACATGGAGCATCTATCTTTTCTCGTGTTAACCTCAGACGAATTAGGAATATGGTTTCAAAAATTACTTCTCGATTTATAATGTGTATTAAAAAACAGTGATCTAAATTTTAGTAGAATGCCTGAAATTCATGACAGAAGGATGAGTCAACTTCGTATTTAATATTTTTATTGTCTTCCTAGATCCGAATCTATTCCAGTAAGCTAACTAATAGGTTTTATTACATTTCAGTTGTATTATGGTGATTTACTTTTATTATCATGACAGCTCTCTGGCAGTATAACTTACTCCTCACTGGCTCTTTATGAAACATTTCTGTATTATTAAATATCCTTATAAATAGTGCACACATTAACATAATATTCCTTCAAGTAAATCTACTTGTGCTTTGTAGCGGTTATCCTGGTTTATGAATACATACCTTGTTCATCAACTCTACAACAAATTCATATGAGTGATCCATTGAAATTAACTAGTTTTACTTCGCCTTTCAGTATTGGTCGTACAGTGTTACCTCATAGTGCCATAAAAAGTAAGTTTATTAATATCAACAATATAATGAAATGAAACGTTGAAACTATTCATATGCACTCGACTGTATGGTTACATAAGCTGTATTAAGTATATATAGAGATTGAAAGGTTTTTTTTACTGTAAAACAGTTTGTTTATTCGATATTCAGTACAGACACATATAGGATAAAATAAATCCAAAAAAGAAAAATATCATATAAAAATTCATCCCTGCAAGTTATCGCGTCCCACAAAAGTGAGACAAATACAGATGAATTCGCTCTTCACATTCTTTCGAACTTCAAACATTGTATTGCCAGCTGTTATGATTTCTCTTATTATAACCTAGTTACTCTTAGTGCTTAGTATTGTTAGACAATACTTCACTCGACAAGTCCCCATATCAGAACACGGTTGAACAGAAACGTAATTATGTTCCAAATAACAAGGTTGAATTGAATTAGGAATCGCAGTAAGAAAAACGTCAGTATATTTGTTGTTGCACTATATACTTTGAAAAACCTTTAGTCAAGTAGTTATTAAATTACATGCATTGATATTGTTCTGTTTACTTATTTATTTTTTGGTTGTAGGTGCTCCATCTGATCTCGGAATGCCTCATGAGTCTGTTATGTGGTCATATTTAATCCAATTAACCAGTGGTTTGCGTTTTATTCACCAAACATTTCACCGATCATGTGGTATACTGGATCCTACTAAAGTGTTATTACAAGATGGACCGCGGTAGAATTCTGTTTTTTAGCACTAAAATTTTATAATTTTATCTTTACATTTTTTAAAATTTATATCCAAATGTCATATGTTATGTGTGTACTGCAAACTTATGATGAATATGATATCATACATTGTTTACTTCGAGTAAATGGCAATCACACTAGAAAATTATTTAATTTTGGAGGGATTACAACATAAAAAAATCTGTAGGCTTCTGTGTTGAATTTTAAAAGAAATGTGTCTGATATTCTAGTCTTTGTTTAATTTCTTTGGCCGGTCGAATTCCTAACATCGCGCTTCATATTCATCTGACGTCAAACCTGAATGTTTCTGCTTGTCACTCAAACAAACACAAACACTATTGGTACTATTTGTTGATAATTTTCGTACTTCTGATTAAAACTATCTTTAAAGGTATGTAAAGTTGTTATTCGTTTCATTGCAGGTAACTGTGTATATTAAAGCAAATATTGTTGAGCAAAACTCTGCTTTCTCAGGTTTTTTAGACCATTTAATTATATGAAATCATTCCAATAGATGAATATTTATTTTTAGAAGGGACTATTTTATAACACCAGCTTATTTCTACTAAATACAAACTTTCTGTGCAATTATTTAAGTACTAAATCTCCAGACATTTTTGTGTGTCTGCTTTTAACAAGAAGTTCAATCAGTCAGTCATGCGCAATTTAGAACTTGGCACATTTGTACATCGTTTCGAGTTGCGACACCCCTTTCTAACATAACGTTCACTTGTTATTGTAATCAGACTACCTCGACTCGCTTTCGAAATATGTTTTGTTCAAGTGTTAAATCTACTACCTATACAAATTTATAAACTGCTAGTTATTTTCCTTCTAATAGTTTATTCTACAAAGAATACTGAGCAAGAATATTCTCTTTTCTACACTAATCTAAAAGTAAAATTTTACCTTACTGTCTTCGTACTTGATCATCGTTCTCTTTTAACACATCAAAGTGACATATATTTAATTATTTACTGACTTGTTAGACTCAACGAAATATTCTAAGCCAAACAGTCGAAACGACTCTTAACGATCAATACAATGAATCAACACGTCTTTCAGTTCTAAGCAATATGAAAGGCTTGCGTTTTGTTTGAAACTATCTAGTATTGATTAAATTATATCAAATCAAATTTGTTCGTTGAAAATAACCGGTCTCAAACATTTTAAGCTGTAATGGATGGTGGTTAGCAGTGGAATCCAGGACGTGCGTTTCGTCTTATTTTTGACTCATCACGTGGATGTATCTACATCCCAGAGTTAGTGTTCACTCCTTGACTGGAATCCAGTACCTTTCTCTTCAAACGTCATCGCGTTGTTTGCTTAGCTACTGAATCCAGATAGCCACTGGCTTATGTAATGCGGTGAATTTTAAATTCTAATTCATACACGTTGGCTGTGCCTTATGCTTTTGACTTACTGGCAATACCGAGACAATTAACATAGGTTGCACGTATGCCAAGAAGAGTCTGATCGATTGCAGTCCTAGACATCAATGAGAAGATTTAAACAACCTATATCTAATAGTTTCATAAACAACGATTTACTAATAGGTCTAGTCTTATGTTTATTAGTTCATATGTTTAAAATGATATGGGTCTTAATGTAAATTAATGTGAATTAAGTGGAATTAGTATAAATCTAGTTTGACAGTAATTTGTTTTCATAATTTCATCCTGTTTTGCTAAATAAACTATCTAGTATTTCATCACTTGCTTCATTAACTAAGTCCTATATAACTGTCTATAGTTTGACCGGGAGAAAATGACTGATGGTTGTTACTAGTGTAGTAAATATCTATTTAAAACTGAAATGACACAATTAGGATCTATTTATTCTGTTTGCTTCAATAAGCATCTGTTTATGGTATGATAACACATTAGAGTTGTAATGCCTATAGACAAACCATTGATGCTCTGTCATTGAGTAATACACTCACTTTTCTCCACATAAAATTATGTAGCTTGTTATTCTTTTTCCATCAATTTCTTTCTATATCTTTCCATAGTTTGCGAATCAATTGTTTTGGTTTAAAGGATATTCTGTTCTACTCTGCACAAGATACCAATTTAGTAGAAAGTCAGGTATGTTAGCAATTTTAATATTATACATATGTATAATATCTATTAGAGTAAAATTATGAAACACTTGTCAGACAAGTTCTGTAACATAATTGATTGTAGTGATAATCCGAAATTCGTTTGTCTGAACCAGCCCACTGTCAAAGTTCTGTTTCAATTCCTATCATCATTCGGTTTTTACCGTTTTTATTAGAAAAGGTTCGTCTTTTCGCCACCCAGTCACAATGGCTGGTTACCTTAGGTATCATTGCTTAATGTCAGTTACAGTGACGTATATGCATTCATCCTTAAGATTCCCCTAGATCTTGAGTTTCATAGGTTTCTCATATTTCTGACCCGTTCTTCTTTTTGAGCCAAATTCTATGTTTGTTCATTCTTATTCTCATTGTTACTACTATTATTCCGACTTATTTACTATCTGTCTCATTACTGTTGTCTCACTGTGTTCATATGATGTGGTAGCTTGACTCAATCCATACTTATGCTTAGTATTACGTTGGTTATGTATTAAACGGCATTTTTCCTTATTAGTATTTACCTATTGAGACCAATGTTATATTATATGCAAGACATATTGGTTTGGTATTAAATAATCTAGAAAAATTCTAATAAAATGGTTCTTCATGAAATCGTCAGATATTTCTTCACCATAGAAAATTATTATCATTATTATTATGCACAAATATAAAAAAAAGTAAAGTTTTCTAAACTGTGAAACGGCTAGTAATAGTGTTCAAACATTCAACCTAATGACTGATTCATGATATCTAATGCTGAATTTTATTAAATTCTATATACATATATGTTTTAATTTAATTGACAATAAGTATTTCTGTAGGGTCTTTGTTACTGATAACTCATCGTTTTACTTTATAGGCAGCTGACTTTATACAACTTGGCAAATTAATGATAGGAGTTGCTTGTGGTACAGTTGCAGCTGTACAGGTTAGTAAATATTCTTTTTCTCAAAGAAATTCATTTAGTGTACAATTTTTTGTTATCTAGAATGTCGTTCTTGACATTTTTTAAAACCTAAGTTGTATCGCCTCCAAATCTGTCTAACTCAATAACTACTTGATATGATCAGCTAATTCCTGGAAGTTATCAACCCTGATACCTTTCTTAGCTCATCAAAGATGCTAATTTGCTTTTGATGTTACTGACTGATCCTGTTAGGTTAGACGGAAGTCTTGAAGCCTTGTTTTTTCTTTCATGACCCACAATAAGTTCAATATATCTACGTGAAAGGGTTTTCATTAAGTTACAACTAGTATATTTAATTATCAAGACAATTAAAAGCCTTTTTTAAATTGTGCCTGCGTTTGAGGTATAAAAGATTCTGAATCCAATTTTTAAACTACTTCCTAGAGTAACTTTTAATTAACTTCTCATGTGTTACCCACACAACGTAACACTTTGTTCTATCACATTTTCTATGAAATCATAATTACCGTTGAAGTTTTTCACCATTTGAATTAATTTATTTATAAAGGCTAGTCAACGGGCTTCTTCATTCAACCTACTTCAGCGTGCATATCGACCAGAATTAGTCACTCTTATTCGAAGTTTAGTATCAGGACAGATATCAGGAGCAGATCAACTAATGCGGGCTACTGCACCATTTGCATTCGATCACTTAACAAGGTTATATGATCATTCAGATCTCTTGGAAAGTCAATTATTATTGGTGAGTACGTTATGTAAATGTTTAGTTTCTTCATTACTGTAATTTGTATCTGTTACAGTTCAAACAGTCTATTCACATACTATAAATATTATAAACTCATTATATTCGTTTTTTTTCACAATTCTATGACTGCTAGGGATGGAAAAGTATGCAATAAAAGGAATAAATGCATATAGAACCCGTTTGTTTTGATATCTATTATATTACAACTCAATGGTTTATTGTTATACATAGACACTGTGTGATTGATGATAACTCGTTTTGATCCATAAGCTCACATATACAAGATTTCGTATAGTCTAATAAATCTATGTTTCGTATATAGTTTTTCCCGTATGTCATCACACTACGGATTTGTCTTGTTTCGTGCTTCAAATATTGAATTCAATAATTATAACACATGAACTCATTTTCTTATGATACAATATTACAGTATTCTCACTACTTAGCTGTAGTCTCTTTAAGTTTAAAGATTTTTCAATTTTATGTTTTTCTTGTTAGTATTGTTTTTTTATTCCATAAACTTCATTTCATTTGTAATCGTGCAATTTGTTTTGTTAATATATACTAACTACTACTTCCATCTAGGTATTAGTTAACGATGTCACTCAATTTATTGATTTTTCTGCTAAAATAATATTTGTATACTTTGTTAGTTTCTATAATCTACTCTACTCACCTTTTATGGCTTAATACTATTATGCAATAAGTCATATCCTGTATGCCAAAGTGTTCTGTGCCTTTCTACAAAATTATAGTAAATAGTTTTGTGTATCGTACAATTTCAAAATAAGTGGAATATCCAGGTATATATTCTCTTAATGATAGGCTTTCAGACTATTGCTATTCAAATATAATATTTGATGTGTTTACATGTTTATGCACATTGTAATATATGTCCCGACTCTCAGTTTATTCATAAACGATGTAAATAAATAAAGATAACAAGGAAATGTAAAACAGAATGCTGTGAATCTTGATTCTCTGTTTTGACACTTTATTGAGAATCAGTTATGATTAAAAGCTTGAGCAAATTGTCTTGTTTACCTAGTTCGTTGTATTTAGACTTGATATACATTACCTACCTTTGATTTATTAAATAACGATGATTAGTTGGGTTTGCAAACTTAATTGTTCTTATATTTCGTAGTTCTAGGCTCAATAGGTGTATAGATATTATGATTGTTTCTTAATTTATGAACTACAGTAGAAAGTTTACTTCATAAAACCTAAGAAGATAAAAAATTCAGACATTTAGAATACTCGAAGATTTGATTTGATTTGTTAGTTTTGAATTGAGCAAATAACAAGCAGTAATTCGAGAATATTCTCTAAATTTTTACAACCTAAATTATTTACAATGAATGATTTTAAGAAAGTTGGTAGAAAAGTAATAATTTCATAAATAATCAACTTTGCAAATAAACCTTACAATAAATCATATGACATCAACTGCTTGTGATCAACTTCCGTTTATATTATTCAAACCATTGTTTTCTTAACCATAAGGTTGCTTATCTGTATACGTAATTTTTTTAGCTTGCTAACCGCTGAATATTTTGAAAATTAATCCACTTGATATTATTCAACTACGTATGTTATCTTCAGTATATCCGACATTCACATATTATTACTCAATGTGTCAGGACTTTTCATACACGAAGCAGCGATATAATTAGTTAGTTCACTTGGCTTTTGAATGTTAAGTCAGAAGATAAACCCTGCTCCATCAACTTCTGTTTAAGTAACCCTAACACTTACGGTGTGTGAACCCTTGTGAACAGGACCTGACTTCTAAATAAGTTTATCAGTTTTGATAAGTTATTTAACTGTTTTTCGTAAGGACAAATGACACTGTAATGTATGGCTACATTGTATCGTCTTTTACTATTCACTTTAATGTCGATATATATTTTAAATATTTACAAAATTCACTCATAAACCATTCGATATATCATTTTACTGTTTAGGAACTGGAATGTGACAGACTTTTCCGACTCATCTGTAAACTTCAGTCTATTGTGGAGCGTTGCGAGTGAGTGTGTTTTTTTAGCAGGTATTTCGTTCATTTTCTTTGGGTTGAAATTATTTCAACCGCTTTTAAGTAATTTTTACAGACACTTCTTTTAAAAACATTCTAAGGTCACCTTATTTTAATCCTACTTTATGGTATAGATTAGTCGATTGTGTTTAGGATTTTGTTTGTATCTTACGCTTATTCTTTATAACTGTAATAATTTATTCAATCGCGGATTATTTTCTCACAATTCTTCTTTTCATATATTGGTAAATTATAATTTGCATTGGTTTTTCATCACTTGTTCTGCTTAATAAATGCTGTTTTTGAGACGTATTTTACAACGAACATTAATGTGTCTATTCAGACAAAAAGTCTATTAAATACTGTTTGTTATCCTACCTACCACAATTGATAACAATTTCATTAGTATTTTAAAAAATTTTCAAAATTATCCTAAGCAGTTTTATTATTCTATGGTAATTTGCCTAGTTGTGTTTACCTCGGATCAATCGGTAATGCTACTCATATATTTGTTAAGATTCACAAGAATATATGCTACATTACATTATGTAGATTTTACTGCATTAATCATTGTTTAATTATTGTTTTACAATTTATAAATATTTCATGTAATAATCCATCATAGTTATTGTTTTGTAATAAAAAAAATCAGTAGGTATTATTTACTTGCAGATTTATTTTGGTTTAACATATCGTTCTGCTTACATTCTATGTGTAAGTAAATATGTGAATGTGTATATCATGTGATAGCTTTGTCTGTCAATACATGTGTTGTACAAAAAGTTTTGCGAAATTTATTAATTATGCTCTTTTATTGAGGAATATCGAGTTATCCATTGTCTTGAAAATGTCGATATTAGCCGTTGTTAAATATTATAATATGCTCTTATGTCAAATTGGTCAATTTTTTGTCGAGTTATTAGTTAATTGTTTATTTTTCCTTCATTTTTTCTGTATTCTTATGTGTTATTGCTATTCATATAAAATGGTTTAGTTATCTGTTTGGGGACGAATTAATGTTCATTGCTACAGTGAAATCCATTTATTTATAAGGTTTGATTTCATATTTTCACCACATAAGTTGTTTTCACCAGGCCAGAAGATAATTTTTTTGCAAAAGACGAAGAGATTTAAGGCTACCCAAATACCAAGTTCTGGGTCCGTGTAAGCGGTTACCAACCACATTTTAATTATGTAAACAAATGATACCACTATAGGCTGACCAAAAATGGTAAATGGAACTAAATTTGAACTTGTGACAATGGTTGGAAGTTAATTGCTTCCACTACTACTAAGCTGTCTCTCCATTGAAATAATTCCCTACTGTGCAAACAACTAATATTTCCTTTAAACTGAAAGATTAATTATGTTATTTTTATTAAAATAGTTTTGAACTTTTAATCTGTTTTGCATTGGATCGTAGGTTTATCTACAATACACGCCTATTTCAAGTGTGAGTATTCATCTAATATCAACAAATGTCGAACAAAGTGACTTATGGATTTGGACTTGATCAAAAACCTGTAGTACATGAATATTTAAATCGACTTTTATTGACTGTGTATCATTCATTTGATGAACATTCTGGATATTTAGTACCAAATGTAGTCATTTTGAAATAGAATTTTACAATAAACTCGTAATATCGACTGATCACTATCCAACTTTCAGTGTTTTTGTGGATAAACATTATCTAGTTTTTAATGCGAATCATCCTAGAAATATCACTGCAACTTAAGCAGGTATAGATTTTTCGAATAAGTTTCCAGATGATGTGAAAACACTTTATAAATGAAATCAATACAAGTTATTTCGGGACCTGCAATCTTGTTTTAAAGTTGATGGTTCAATCCAACTCTGCGAACATTAGGAATACTCTTTAAACTGATCAAGTACCTTTTTTCCCACAAAGTATACAATGTTAAATTAATATGTTCTTTCTCATAATTCCTATTTTTTGAGATGCCAGCAAATACGATAGTCAGATTCAGTTGAATATATGTACTCAGAACCAACGTTAATTTTTATACCAATTTTTCAGGATTGTTGCAAGATACCATAAGTAAATAATATTTCATTTCCTAACTGTCTTATAGTCAGGGTACTTCCCAGAATGGTCTGAAACAGGTGATCGTTATATGTTGAAATTATTTCGAGATTTCGTATTTCACCAATCTGATCCTCTTGGTGCTCCATACTTAGATCTTGCACATATTATTACTACATTGAACAAGGTACGTTATTTTTCATCTGTTCAGTAGAATTATAGATGAAACTACATTTTTAGTCAGTAAATGTATGCTCTGCAAATAAATAAATATTATTGATAAATGTTTTCATTAAAATTATTGGGTTCATTTTAGTGTATCTGATTCTTAATCCAGTATATATTTTAATCTTCACATTCAATTATAATTCAGTTACATAGATAGAAATTCAAACATTTTATTATTCTAATTAACCAAAGGTTTGTTAATTGAAGATGTCTATTTTTTTTCAAAAAAGAGTGTACTTTGTTGACGTTGTAATGATATAAACATTTTCTTCCTCTCTCTCTCTCTCCGTGACTCAAATTTGCCAGTGTTTACATGTTTTGAGTTAAAGTCGTTTTATTTTTATGTCACTGATGACATGCTAAACAAAATCATTTAGTTGGTATACTGATTTCTGTTTAATGCTTTATTTTATTCAGTAGTATATTTCATTTATCGTTCACTCGATTACTTTATGAAGTTAATCAACAAGTAATAGCCAATGGATGAATTAAAAATTTTTATAGATTATTAGATGACATTCTTTGGAGTGATGTTAACCAATAATTTGTGTAATACTCCTAAATCATGGTTTTGGTTGCCAGAAGTCTAGTTCTCATTGTGCATCACCGTCACTCACCTGTTATTTGATAATTTACGCCAACTCAATTGATGATTGCTAATAATATTACATATTTTAATTTCCCTATTATTCAGTGTATGTCCAACTTATGAAGTCTTTTTGCTTTTTGTAAATATGTTTGACATTTGATTGTTTTTTTTCTAAATCATACTATTTTAATTCAGTGAATAAACCACATTATTTTTGGGTTAAATTTTCATATAAGTTTTACCTCAGATATTAAGTGAGAAATATTAATATACTGTATTAAAAATAGAATGGATTAGTAAACTTGACCCAATACCACTTGCATCTTTATTCGACTCGGATTTTTTTTTCATTGTAATCACTGGATAATAACTTTTGTTGATTTATTTGTTCCATTGCCCAATCTATTTTCCATTAATTTATTAAATGTATTCTTTATTTTCCATTCATTATCCATGTAAAGAGTTAATCAATTTCTATTTCAGGTTGAAGCTGCTTCACCCGAACGTCTTTGTCTAGTCAGCCGTGATAGTCAAAATGTGATTATTGTCACCTATGCAGATATTAAACAATGGTTAGATACAAGCTTTTCTTATCTAGTGGATAAACATCGTCAGAGTCAATGTGAACTACAATTGACACGTCAACGAAATGCTCGCCAACAACAACAGGAGATCTCCAATCCTGGAAGTCAACAATGACTGGAGTAACCATAATTATGGTAATAGAATAATGCCATTATGAGAGTGCTAAATTATTTTCTATTATATTTGCATATATTTTTCTTTTTTTCTAAAAGTATAAATCTTGTTTAGTTGACTCAATCCTTAAATATTTTTCAAATGCAATGTTGTTCATTAAATGAAACATATCTGTGAAAGTTCAATATATCGATTGAAATATTCCTTCTTGATTAATGAAGGCTTATTCGTGTACACTTGACCTCTCATGTTGTTTTTATGTGAATAAAAATTAAGATTTCTACGATAAATTCCACTATATTACTCAACAGATTGTATAAATAACCATATATATACAAATATACTTTATTGAATGACCAATATACCAAGTACAGATTTGTATACTTATGCTCTATACGTTACTAGCATTCTCACAGTATCTCAGAGCTTTGGAATCCATACGATTTATCTCAGATAATCTTGTTGTGTATGTAGAAGTTGATAAAGAATTTTTATATGAATTATTGACTCGACATTTTTTATCAGTCACTAAATTTTAACCAATCTATGCGTAGTTACGTAATTGACAATGAATTCTGTTCTGATTTACTATCGAATTGTTGATTTTCCACTAGTTCATTTAGATGAAAATTTCATGGGTTATGTTTGGGTTATACGAATAATCAAACTGAAAACGAAAATGCAGTTGTTCCTCTCTATCATTAATTAAAATCAGTTCTCTAACTGAGGTTATTTCTTGGCGTAAAACTTCGTTTAAATGCCTTCTTCAGTATTGTTATTTGAGTAAAAAAAATATTCATCTGGATTACTTAATTGCTTTTTTGTCTTTATACTTTGACTCTTTATAGATTTCGTAATTTTGGGCCATACAATCATGCTCGGGGGCGATGCATATGACATTACGTTCGATATATAATATCACTTATATGTCCGTCTTCCGTTCTTTACACTTGTGAAGCCTTGTGTCTAACATTTTTCTCTATTCTTCTATCTATCTATTTACATGTGTGGTATCATTTCTGCAGTAAATTAGAATGATATATTTCTTTATTCTGTCGAAACTCCAGAGTGCTATTTTTTGTTTCCCAAGGAAAACTTCCTTCTCTACATCATCGGTTGTTAGCCCCTGCTCTCTTCACTCCTATTTCATCTACTGAATTCATCAATGAATATTTGTTTGCGACAATGCATGTAGTATTAATTTCTTGAAAGATTGTTCACATCATCATTGCTGTTATTTCAACTGTTATTGTATACTTGTATGCTGTTGTTTATCTAGAGTAAATGACCTGTATATTCGTATATTGGTAAGAATGGTAAGACTGGCAATCGCTAAATATCACTCAGACTTTATTGAGTTTTTAATGGAACTGATTTTTTGTTGGTTAGTTGTTGTATTACATTGTTACTTTTCTCTCTCTTTGTACCTTTTCTTTTTTAAAAATTGCTCTGTTTGTAAATGAAATCTTCACTTATCGATCATAAATTATTCTTGTTTCGCATTTCTATTTACTATTATTATTAGTTCTGCTACTGTTTTTTTACAGTTCTCTTTAGTGCAAGAGTATTTCTAATAACTTGGACAAAAGCAATTACAAAACGATGATGATGTATGTGTACTTATTGTTTCTATGTATGTATTTTGTCAGTTATTCTCTTATCTTGCTATATATGTATTGATACAATATCAGTCCGTTTCAATTATCTCGGCTATGTTTATGTTTTTCTGCGAACTGAATGTAGAACAGACAAAGAGAGAAAGAGATATACATTCGTTCATTACGATGAAATAGTATTTCCAATAAAAAAAAGAAAGAATCATAATTTAAATAGCAGACAAAAGATGAAATGCTTCCACTTCTCTTCACTTTTTTCCCGATTCTTTACTTTTATACTTTTATTTTTCACGAAATTTTTTTCCAGTCTGTCTTATATTCCTTTCTGTTTCAATTCTTTCCTTCGAAAAGACCTGATTATTTTTGAATTGTCATTACTGTTGTGTAGGTCGGATGATATTTTTGTCTTTTCCTTTTTTTTGTAAAATTGTATTTATCATCAGTAAAATATTTCATCCTTCAATTAAATGTTTATTTAATCATACTGAGTAAATATTTATTCAATAAACCGGATTAAATACCATAAAAGCGTATAGAAACTATGCCGCTGTTCTCTCTTCTGTTACTGTGGGCTTGTTAATCGGTTGAAATGATCTTATATTGATTATTCTTCTTATGTCAGGCTTTTATAACAGTTTTGTTGATATTCATAATCAAACATCTCAGAATAATTTCAAATATTTTTTGAAGCTAGTTGCACTCAGCAATAGTAACTACTTTGTAGTTGACAATAATCTCGTATGAGTATAAACAGTAAGACCGAGATAAAAAGAATTACTGCTCACTTTAAAACATCCGGATATTTTGCTGATGTTTAATCAGTTACGGTGAAAACACCAGTTCCCGTTAGTTTCCTAAAATTGTGTACTGATAATGCGTTACTTAGTAATGATAGATTGGAGTACCAATCATTTTCCCATGCATTCGTACTTTTTGTAGTTCTAAAAAGTGCTCACCATAACTGGACTACGTTCACTCATTCTCTTATCGTCTAAATAAATTTATAATAATTAGTAGACTAAAACTCCCGAAAATTGTTTTAAAAACCAACAAACTTTACGTTTGCGTCATGCGTATAGAATAATCTTTCTCTGTTGTATTTATGTGGTTGCTAGGGTAGTCGCGAAAACTATGTATTTTTACTGGTCTAATGCAAAATGTAAACAAAAATAACGAACAGTCGATTCATTTTTGTATTGGTTTTCTTGAGTCTTCCCATTGAAGTTTAGGATTACAAATGATCAAACATTTTGGCATATGTGGATCCTATGCGGATTCAGTAGATATTACCTTAAGTCATAAGCGGATATGAATGATGACCAACAGTGGGATCCAGGACGTATATTTCCTCCCAGTTTGGGCTCGTCAGCTGGATGTACCTGCATCCTAGATTTGATGTTCACATATGCTAACAGGAGACATCAATGGGAAGATTTAAACAACTCATATAAAAATGAATCATATCTCACCCCATTATACAAGCCAATGACTATCTGGACTCAATAGCTAAGTGAATAACGTGGTGCTGTTTAAAGGTATACGTACTGGTTTCGAGTAAGGAGTGAACAACAACTCTGGGGTGTAGTTATAACCAGATGACGAGTCCTAAGTAGGATGAGGCGCGCGTTCCAATGATAGCCTTTGTCTATCTCTGCTTATAAAGAACGATCAACTTTAATTTCATGTTACTTTGACTTGTAGTCACTGATCACAAAAAGACAGTTTTAATAATACTTATTCAAGTTCTTTCTGGGTCGATTTTCTGTTAACATTTTCACTTACGTAGGATATAAATCCCTCAGTCCCCGGTAAAAACAGTCAAGCTTAATTTCTATATCATTTTGCTTATCAGGACTTAATATTTACATCAATCAGTTTATCCAATCATCTATTTTCAGTAGATCTGTGTAATAATTGTTAAAGCACCTTGCAACCAGTCGTTCTCAGATGTTAGCCCCTTTCCTACTACTACAATCCTAGCGACTGAGTAGTATTTCTAACTAAATGTCACAGTCATTTTAGTCCAATCTCTACCAAATAGATTTAATTGATTATTCCAAACGAATTTTATTTTTATAAATCAATTAAATTACCTGTTCAACTGAAATTTTTACATATTCAGTAGTGACGATTTTTGATTGAGTTATTCCATTTCAGATTGTTTACGACATGAGTAGGTTTTGTTTTCCCAAATCTTTATAGCAAAGGATCTCAAAAACAATTTATTACCCTGTATTATTAACAGGAAATGTATTCAGTATTGTAAAAGTCCTTATTCAATAATCAAGTAAGTAAATAATTATTAAAAATTAGTCATTTCTATAAACGGGACTCCCAGTAATTTTATTGATTGATTTTAAGAATAGGGGATTAATTAATGTTCTTTGAATCATTGCGATTCTTGTTAGTTATAATGAATGAAATAAAAAGTCAATCGGCTACAACACAGGACCAGGTATATGTATGCATCGGTCCAGAATGTCACACCTCATTAGCACATGATGAACACCAAATTCATGGAAGTAGTTACTTCAATGGTAGTGATATATAAAAGAAAGATTGTGTATAGGGATATGATACAAGAAAGAATTAGTTCGTAGAAAGAAAGATATAAAGCAACCTTAATCTCACAGTTTAGGGGAAAACAAAGAGTATGTACCGACGCCATTGTGAGCCATGTCACCCAGTCTCCAACCATTGGTTACGATAGTCATGTGGACCCCAACAAAGTAATCTGCATCTACCATCATGGCTATGACTAGACGTTGGTGGCTTCAAGCACTGATGCCACGTTTTGTTTTGGCCGCCCCTAACTTTCTTCCAACCATCTCCAACACCGGTTAGCATTGCACGTCGTGGTAGCCGGTGTTCAGGCATACGTAATACGTGGCCCAACCAACTCGAAGATTCACAACCTCATCAACTGAGTCTAACCTCACTATTACTTACCCGGTGATCCCAGTAGATGCGAGCAGCATTTATAAGGCGTTTGTGAACGAATACTAGCAGCTTACGAATGTCTTCTACTCTTAATGGCCACGTTTCTCAGTTGTAAAGTAGAACAGAACGAACCGCTGCGCAGTATACTCATCCCTTAATTCATAGATAGATATCTCGCCTTCGCCATAGGTGACGTAAGTTGACAAAAGCCAAACGAGCTCTTCGAATCCGTGCTGAAATTTCGTCAGACACCAATCCATTAGGGCTGATCAGACTTCCAATATAAGTGAGGTTGTCAACGCGTTCGACTACTTCACTCCCTATCCTTAGTTCAGGTGTTGACGCAGACCAGTCCTGAAGCAACAACTTGCATTTCGAGGGAAGAAGCTCATTCCAAACATTCTGGCATTGTTGCTTAGTGCTACCAGAAGACTCTGCATTTTATCAGCGTCTTCACCAAACAGGACTATGTCATCTGCGTATTCTAAGTTGGTCAGTGGACCTCCTGGAAGTAGATCAACACCTGAGGATTCAGTCGACGAGAATTTTATTTCCATCAGTAGGTCTATGATGAAGCTAAAGAAAAGTGGAGAAAGTGGACAGCCTTGACGGACACCACTTGAGGTTGCAAAAGCAGATGACAGTTCGCCATAATCTCTCACTCGACTAGTAGTGTTCGAGTAAAGAGACTTCACAAGGTTTATGCACTTCTGAGATACGCCTTTCAATGACAGACACTTCCACAGAATCTCGCGGTCTTCTGAGTCAAATGCTGCTTTCAAATCAAGAAAGACCACCATTGTAGGACGCCGATAAGTATGCCTGTGTTCTAGAACCTGACGAATGGTGAATATGTGGTCGATGCAGCCACGACCGGGTCTGAAGCCATCTTGATTCTCTCGTGTTTGCAGTTCACAAGTCTCAGTTAGGCGTCCGATAATTATCGAGCCTAGTATTTTAGATGATATGCTAGTCAAATTAATCCCTCCATGGTTATCACAACATGACTTTGATCCCTTCTTATATATTGGAAAAACCAGTGATCAACCTCGTTTTCATAACTACCTAAATGTGACCTCAGTTTTTCCTGGAATCTACTTTTGGTTCCCTCGCTAATCAATTCAGTTCTAATGGGTCTTCTTAATGTGGTTTTCCTGCTTCCAGAGAGGCGCAAACAAACGCGTGCTCGTATCGGAGCATGATTGGAGTTCGAATAGATATTTCAGAATGAGCAACAATCTTCTACCGAGCCTCTCCAGTGATGATCGATGGCAATATGGTCTATTTGAGTTCATCGTTGGTTTGGTGCAGGGAGTCGCTATGTTTGACGATGTCTCTCCTTATGCCTAAAGTTGGCGCTTGCTAAAAATAAGCGGTTGTATGAGCACAGTTGCAGCAGACGATCACCGCTATTTGTTCATTGTTCCGGAATACTAAAATACCCACCTAAATGCCTTTCTGTTTGGTTTAAGTTACCAACTTGGGCATTAAAGTCACCTGCTACGAGTACTATGTTTGATCTTCTAGCTTTCTGTAAAATTCATCTTTCACTTCATCCGAGCTGCAGTCGGTGGGAGCGTAGGCAGAAACGACAGAAAGGCAACGACGTGTGTCCCTATCATTCCGAGTTCTTACATAGCCGTTTAGCTGAACAGCACATAGACGACTGTTAACGGGGATCCACTCCAATAGTGCTTGTTCTGACCTCGTATTTAGTGCTATTCCTACACCTGCCAGTCTGCGAGAACTAGTCATCGTGTCGCCAGATACACGGAGGGTGTATCTCGTCAGCTCTCCGTTTTGGCGAGGTGAGGTCAAGTGAATAACCACATTAGGATCGTGTATGCTTGTTTCGGAGACACAGCATACATCAATGGTTCGAAATTCCGAGGTTTCAGCGAAGGAGGCCTGCTGACCGATTTGACATATGGTGCGTATGTCTTCGGCTCCAATGTGTAGTTTGGAGCGGGATTATTTTAGTAGACCTGGGAGAGTGTTTTGCGCACTAGAATCGTTGGCTATGGTGACACTTGAGGAGGAAGCCAAAAGAGGGAGTTTAGCGTTGAAAGTCGATGTAGGAGGAATAATAGGAATTGAAGTGGGAAGTTGATTATGAATACAGTGGTGTTGAGTGCTGTTAGAGGTATGAGGGCGGTTATCACTTCCCGGTTGCCCACACCGTGGATGGGTTCTTCTGGAGGTACCTGAGAAGGAAATTGAATTAGAGGTGGCCTTAGTGACCTGGAAGCGTGACCGCGGTGCCTAAGGGACAACTGCTTGAGGTTGGTCACACACGACCTTTTTGTGAGTAATCTTCGTGTTAGTTCTATACTTGTTGGGACCGTACCGCCGGGGACGGATATCCTTGGGATAAGGCGAGGTGTGCATTTTTAGGGTCAACCTTTTCTAACCCCACTCCTACTTGTGGGAAGGCAACGGCGCTATCATGCTGGTTGTCTGAAGGGAACACCTTACTGCTGTCACCTCTGTACAGTCAACAGTACAACGTCGCTCTCGGACCTCGGGTTTACTGCTTTTAGACTTACCGCTCTTCAACCGACCTGTCTGGTGTAGTAGGATCTTGAGAAACGATGTTTCAGCCAATATAGCTCGATTGGTTCATGGTGACAGGCGAGCCCGACCACCACGTCAAGGTAGCAGCAACAGTCGGGATATAAAGTAAGGCAAATTCTAAAATCTCATGAACCATGCATAACAGTATTCGGTT